TATTCTCCTTACCTTGATGAACTCCTTGATGGTAGTAGCTTCCTTGAATTCAACATCAGTAACAGCAGCAATAGCAAGTAAGTTCTTGAATCCATTGGCGATGGAGTGAGGAGCGGAGGCCACAGTTGGGTAGCCAATGGACAGAGACACAGCAGCCACATTAGCAACTCCAGCCATGAATTTGGCACGGAGATCTTCTGGCTTGATGTCCAAAATAGATGGGGCAAAGATGGTGCCAGAGTCATAGACCTGAAACATAAGCATTCAACGGTATTTAAATAATTCAAATTTATTAAAATCATTTATAGGCAAGTTCATAGTAACATGTCAGTATGTGCTTTAATTGTCAGATACCTACACTGACTAAGATAACAGTACACACAAATTTTTTCCCAAAGGCTAATTCTCAACCAGCACTGAGCATGCAGATTGTACTCAACGCTTTGGTCACTTGAAAGACACAAATAAAAACATAAATTTACACCATTTTACGTCATTACATACCTGCTTTACAACAAGACCATATGAGAATGGAGAGATGTTCAACATGTTCAGAAGGGTAGCTTCAGAAGCTCCAACCTTGTCACCAGGCTTTAAAATGTGCACATCATTGATGATTTCAATAGTACCTGGAAGTAATATAAAGTAGTAATATAAATACTAATTCCAGTAGAATCTTCAGAAATATAGTATTTATCTTTAATTTGTATCTTCAAATTGCCAGTGCAATTATAATTAATTCAACAATCACACTAGGATAGAGTTGAAGAACTTATGTAGTCTGAAAGCGAAGCCAGGGAAACAAAATAGTATACCCAGGTATTAAAACAGACAATACTAACTATATCTTATAAGCAGCCAAGGCTCATCACATAGGAGAATAGATAACAATTTTGTGCTTGCCAAAATGCATTTTAAAATGTATTTGTTTTTTTTTTTTGGCACTTAAAATAACAAATTCAAATTTTATCACCTGCTGCACAATGCCTCTGACAAAAAAAATTTATCAACCCTTACCCTTAGAAATTTTAGTGGGGATGGAAAGGGCCTGGAAGAAAGCAGTCTTCTCAGGACCCAGACCAGTGTTGTGTGCGGGAATGATGACCTCCAATGGAGCAATGGCTCCAGGCCTGGCAGGGGCACGCACCTTGTTCTCAAGCAACTTATCACGAACCTAGAAATACAACAAATGAAACTATGAAATCATTAGAAAAATGTGCCTAATTTATTCGTCGGAAGATCCATGATAAACTGTTTCTCCAAATTGCCAGTGCAATAAGTCATGTAGGACAATCACACTAGGATAGAGTTGAAGAGTTTCTTTAGTCTGAAAGCGAAGCCAGGGAAACAACATTGAATTCCCAGGTATTAGGACAGACAAATGACTGTATTTAAATCTCATGGAAAATACCACCAAGTATGAAAATAGACTTATAATACTAACCTCAACAAGATCTCCACGGGTAAATACAAAACCGACATTTCCCTTAATGTGGGGCAAAAGCTGTTCCAATGCAGGGTTAGCCTCCAAATGGTCTTTTATAGCCTTACGCATCATGGTGTTTTTGCCCATGAGCACAATGCTGTGCCCTCGCAGAGAGATACGAATCTGCTGCATTTGAGTGGAACCGACATTGTCTGCCCCAACAATAAAACATTTAGGATACTCATCCAGGAGTTGCTGAAAGAATAATTGTAAGTTAGTCAAGTTATTTCAAAGAGTATCTACAATAACCTATAAAAGCCAAGGTAAACTCACAATAATCTTGGTAAAATAGTTGGATTTCCAAGAAGCCTTGTCCTCCCTACCCATCTTGCTTGTGTGTAGGGACTTCGAAGAAATTTAAGGACTGCAAGGAAATTTATCGTATATAAGCATTTTAATTCGTCATCAGTCAGCATTTTCTATTTATTCACGTAATGATCAAAATATATTTTTAAACAACCTAATGGAGTTGATTTAGAATCAGGAGAACAATAAAAAATGTAAAATTTTAGAAGATTAACCATAAAAATAAAGATTCTCTAAAACTTACCAAGACCAAACAATATACGCACAAACCTTGTGCGTGCAGGACGAATAAGAATTTATTATATATTTTTTTTAACAATCGATGCCAGAGACAAGCTGACTGATGACATTTGACAGTGACGTCTGTGAAAGGTTGTCTTCGTCACGTTGACGTCTACGTTATTAGTTAGGCCCTTTCTCCACTGCTCCGGTCCGGCGTCGGATACCGGAATGAGTCATGAGAAAAATATCGGAAGGCCGGATGGCGCTTCTACACTATATCCGATCCGACAATAATCGATACTTGTATATTTATCATGCAACACTTATATTAACTAAAACCCACATACCTACTTTATTTTATTAATAAAACTTTCTAAATTCTGAATATTTTATTGCCCTGGAAAGTTTATTACTTTTTTTATATTGACTATCTTAAAATATTATATTCACAATCTTCAGCCCAATGGTAAGAGCCCCTCCCGCCTTCAATTCTCTTTAGCGCAAAACTGATGTATGATTATTTAAAAAAAAAAAAAAAATATTCTACTTAATAAATAGTTCACTAATACTATGGTACATTTGGTTTGGTCCAGGTTATCCAGATTCTTTCAAATTAAAGAAACTATAAATAAACCTGTGAATAACTATGTATAACCTCTTGGATACTTGGATATACTTGGAACGATAAAACACCGCGTTCCGATCTAGCAAGTTATCGGATCGTTAAAGTAGTAGTGGAGAAGTACGTAAGTACTGTTGTGAGTTTCTCTCCCCCCCCCCCCCTCCCCTTTTCCCCCCCCCCCCCCCCCCCCCCCCCCCCCGGCCCGGGGAAGGCCCCCCCCCCCCCCCCCCCCCCCCCCCCCCTTTTTTCCTTTTTTTTTTTTTTTTTTTTTCCTTCCCCCCCCCCCCCCCCGGGGCCGCGTGCCCCCCCCCCCCCCCCCCCCCCCAAGCCCAAACCCCCACAACCCCCCCCCCCCCCCCCCCCCCCCCCCCCCCCCCCCCCCCCCCCCCCCCCCCCCCCCCCCCCCCCCCCCCCCCCCCCCCCCCCCCCCCCCCCCCCCCCCCCCCCCCCCCCCCCCCCCCCCCCCCCCCCCTTCCCCCCCCCCCCCCCCCCCCCTCCCCCCCCCCCCCCCCCCCCCCCCCCCCCCCCCCCCCCCCCCCCCCCCCCCCCCCCCCCCCCCCCCCCCCCCCCCCCCCCCCCCCCCCCCCCCCCCCCCCCCCCCCCCCCCCCCCCCCCCCCCCCCCCCCCCCCCCCCCCCCCCCCCCCCCCCCCCCCCCCCCCCCCCCCCCCCCCCCCCCCCCCCCCCCCCCCCCCCCCCCCCCCCCCCTTTTTCCCCCCCTTTTTTTTTTTTTTTTCCCCCCTTTTCCCCCCCCCCCCCCCCCCCCCCCCCCCCCCCCCCCCCCCCCCCCCCCCCCCCCCCCCCCCCCCCCCCCCCCCCCCCCCCCCCCCCCCCCCCCCCCCCCCCCCCCCCCCCCCCCCCCCCCCCCCCCCCCCCCCCCCCCCCCCCCCCCCCCCCCCCCCCCCCCCCCCCCCCCCCCCCCCCCCCCCCCCCCCCCCCCCCCCCCCCCCCCCCCCCCCCCCCCCCCCCCCCCCCCCCCCCCCCCCCCCCCCCCCCCCCCCCCCCCCCCCCCCCCCCCCCCCCCCCCCCCCCCCCCCCCCCCCCCCCCCCCCCCCCCCCCCCCCCCCCCCCCCCCCCCCCCCCCCCCCCCAAGTTGGATCGGTAATTAACGTTTGCCGGACCGGAGCAGTGAAGAAACGGCCTTAAGGCGTAGATAGAGTATAGAACTAGATGAGCTACTAAAATAACAATAATAACTAAAGAGAGAAGGCATTAACATGAAATACTTAAGTGCGAGCGAAACAGAGTATCAGTTTTTCTGTCTCTATTTGCGTATCGGGTTTTATTTGTTTACCACCGAGCCCTTGGTGGTAAACAAGTTCTCACCGCTTACTAATAAATCGGTGAAACCCAAGTCAAACCCATATTTTAAGACTTTACCCTTATAAGAGATGTATTTAAAGTGTCAGTCGTGGTGAATTGTTGCATAATTGGCTGTAAAAGCTATAGTGAACGTAAAGAACCAAACATCTTTCATCGGTATGTAGCTTATTTTGTCACGACTCAGTAACTTTGTTCAAGAATTATTGATTCGAATGTGTATTTTGGTCAATAATAAGCAATCTACAATGAATTAATTTGTAAATATGACATATGTCGAGCATTCGCTATCTCACACCCTATACGCTGATGCCTGGTCTATACCATAGTCCGTCTACAAGTTAAGGGTATATTATTAATTTTACAAACTTTGTTTTGGAATAAAAGTCACAGTATCCATAATATAATTAGGCCATAAAACAGGGCTGTACGATTTAAATCGTACTCCTACGATTTTGGAAGTTATACTTCTTTAGGCGCGTTATGAAAAATTTATGAGAGTGAAATTTTACGATGCGCGCGCACCGTGACACAAAATTATCAGTATGGTCGAAGACAATCTACAAGTAAAAAGAAATAGAATATGCGTGACGTTAGCAGCTATGCCAAGGATTTTGAATGACCATAATGACATTTGTAGTACCTTTTAAACAAATAAAGGAGTTTTAATTATTTTTTCAAAGAAATTTAGCAATGCTTTTTCACAAAGACCTATTGTTTCTTAGTTAAAAGGTTATGAAACTTACCTAGGTATTAAATTGAATGAATAATATAATAAAATAACAAATAATAATTATTATTTATATTAATTAATAATTGAATAATATACTAAATATTAAATATTGTTAAATTATTAACGCTAAATATTTATTATTAAATATTTAATATTTAAAAAAAATAAAGAAAGCCAAAGAAGTATAACTTCTTACGTGCGTATATAAGTACACGCACCATTTTTTTTTGTCATTATTCCTCTTTTTATCGTACACAAAATGTACGATTTTCCGGCAAGTATTATGTTCGGGGAATTTCCCAACAACCTAACGTATGCCTAGATCTTTAACTTAAATGAAGACCCTTTACGCCTGATGACCCTTTTTTCATATAAAGTCTATATTTGTGTGCATTGTTACAAAACTTATTATTTTTCTCTTGTAAAGACTTGTATTGGAATAGTCAAAAACATGTTCTTCTCATCAGTCTCGAGTTCTTAAGTGATTATATCCTCTTTTGATCTGCATATTGTCATTAGTGTTTATTGTGTTACTTCATACGCTTAAGCAAGAATGGGTAGTGAAAATGAAGAAGAGTGACCTGCGCCAGGTACTCCAAAAAAGAAATAAGCCAAAAAAGGAGAGCAACAGAGAGGAACAAACAAAGAGCAAAGAAGTATCGTCCAGATTGGGCAAAATTAGATTTATTTAAGTACTGGTAAAAACCAATTTAAAGCCAGGTGCACTGTTTGTGACGTCGAAATGGTTTCAGAATATGGAATTTTAAAGTTACACTTTTCAAGGCATAGGCAGTCGTTATAAATAATAGCTTTCCACTACTATCATTTCATTTCAAAATTTTGAATACGATTTAAATGAATATTGTCATCTGTTTTCCTCTACTAATTACTGGATCTGTGGATATAATTTACAAAATAATGATTGATGACAATTCAAGTTCGCATTGGTCATTGACGTAAATTCACCGAATTTACCGACTTTAAAGTTTAAATAGCAATTCCCTTATTATTTAAAAAGGAATAAAATTTAAAATCTGAGGCGGCAAGAAGGATTTGTATTTCATTGCCGGTCCTTGTTAATTACAGTTAATAAAGCTACCAAAGAAAATTGCTCCAAAATCAGCAGCTTGTAACCTCAGGCTTAAGTAGTAAAATGTCTTTATTTCGTAAGCCTAAAAAGATTCAGCGACGCGTGTTTTGTGCCGATGATCAGGATGATAGCGATCCTGAGCCTCCACCGCCACCGACAATTAGTCATAAGAAAGAAAATAAAACTGCGAAAGGCAAAACATTGTTAAGTTTCGCGGATGAAGGTTTGAAATTGAATATAGATTTATAGCCATAACCTCTATACCATTAATATGTTATTTGAATAATTGGGACTCCGTGTGTATTTGCCTGCCCCTTTTTTACTGTACAACACAAAATAACATTTTATGAAATTATATCTTTTTATTTGGTGTAAAATTACACTATTTCACTGGTACTTTTTACAGCAAACAAGAGAGGCTCTTTTATTTATTATGAAACATTCTAATTAGCAATCAGTAGTATTAGTAGTAGCAATTGTCAATTAATGATCGTGCACACATAACCACTAGACTAACATTACTGTTGTCATGATAAAGTGCTATCAGTCTAGCTAATCATGCTAGTGTTAAAATATGTATTTTTCAGAGGATGAAGGAGAGGTATTTAAGGTAAAGAAGTCATCACAAAGTAAGAGGTTAGCAAAGCGCAGGGAAAAAGAAAAGCGTACTCAACCTGATGATGAAATTCACAAAGTTGAAAATAATGGCATTGAGGTAATGAATTTAAATTTGAACATAAAAAACTAACATATAAAAAATTTGTAAAGTAATAAAGTATCATTTAAAATTCCATGATATTATTGCATCTTCTTAAATGTAGGAAAATCAAGCAGAGGAGAAAGATATTATTAAGAAAAAGAAGAAAGTATCCCTTGAAGGGATGATTCTGTCTGGAAGAGAGGCACTAGCTGCAGATGGGGCTGGAGATATTTCAGACGAAAGTGGCAATGAAGATGAGGATAGTAGGGGTTTCCACCAGTTCCGCGCGGAAACAGTCCGAGCGGCGCTGGCTGGTGCGGGACATATTCCCGATGCCGCACTCATCCATGCGGCCCGCAAGACGCGACAGCAGGTATGAGAGGTGAGGGTCTAGGAGGTGGCCATCTTGGATTTGACAACTATTTTTGCCATTTCAGATATTACAGTGATGTGTACAGTTGAAAAAATATAAACAGGGTTACATGGGATCTAATTTACATATTAAATGTACTTATTCATTAACTAATCTACACTGCTAATTAGTTTAATGAGTATTCATTGTACAAAAGCCCTGCACAAAGCTATGTGTATTAAAGTGGGTATATCAGTACAGAAAAATTATTTATTAACATTGAAAAATATTCTGTATAAATGACTTATTTGTTTGGGTTGACTGCAATTCTGATATGGCTTATGTAAAGTATTTAAATTTTAAGCTACCTCCTTGCTACCTCGATTTTATAAATATCTCACAACTTAGTAATTGTTGACTAAATATAAAAAAATATTGTATGTAGTGTGTGTACTTATAATCATAAAACTCATATTTTAATTACATTTTAATGCCATGTTGCATCAACCCAAACAATGTTTTCCAAATCATCAGCAAATGCTTCCAATCTTAGGCTCGTGAACTTGGTGATTACATCCCAATCAAGTCTGATACTCCGTCTGGCTCTCGATTGATTCATGAGGATGATGATGATGATGAAGAAGAAGGCAGAATTCAAGTCAGAGGGTTGGAGTTGCCTAGTGATAAACCAAAACGTAAGTTCAGAATAAATAATTTGTTAAACTAACATCTATTATATAAGATAAGACATTAGGGGAATTACCCTGCATTGATTAAAATTTTAAATCAAATAAAATAAACAATGTTTTACAACAAATAAAAATGTTATGAGAATGGCTATTATGGTAAAACATTTATAACATCTTTGTCGTGGACAAATAGTAATAATAATTTCTTTAAACAAATTTAATTTTGCATCAGGTGGAACAGCAACATTATCGGATGAAGAGCTGAACAGTGAAGCTGAAGAATGGGAGGAACAACAGATGCAGAAAGCGGTGCCCTCTATTGTTGATATCACTGGTATGGTAATATAAAAAAATTGCGCAGACATGTATTTGTTTCTCATGTTTTACATTTTAATTGATTTTATATTTGTAATTTAACAAATTATAAATGTATACAATACTGTTGTAGTTACTTATTAAATATACAATACCTTAATAAAATTGATAGGTGAAACTGAGTTGAATCCTTTTGCTGTGGCCCCCCTGCCTGCAAGACTTGAGGCTCCGCAGCACTTAAGGGCCCTCGGGACTCCAGCCGGGCCCCCGCCCACCACAGCACAGGAATTGGTACTTGCTCTACAAAAAAGGTTATTGCTTAAAAATTATTTTTACTTAAATTATATTCATTGTGAATTTGCTAGTTATCAAATTGTTATTGTTAACACCAAACACCAAAATTGCATTAATAAACTTGTAACACACAAGATTGGGGAAATTTTGAATATCTTAATATATCTTGTTACATCAAATTGTTGACTTAACCCACACAAGCCTTTAAGACCATTTAGTAAGTTTATATATAGGCCATTTTTTATTAATACTAATTAAGACATTTGAATTCACAGGTTATCTGAGCTGCAAACAGATCGCCAAGAAACGATAAACAAAAGACAGACTTGCCAGGAAAGATTATTAACCTCTGCCCGGGTGAGGGAATCCCGCTCTGCCCGATGCCAGGACTTAGATGCTGCATACAAACGGGCACAGGCTGTTCGAGGCTATCTCACTGACCTCATCGAGTGTCTGGATGAAAAGGTCTAACACCTGGATAAAGTGATTTAAGTTGATTTTAGATAACAGATTAGCAAAGTCTGGTTGTATTGGCTTATTATAGTATTATCGTTGGGATGACTTGTTTGAAATTATTTATATACAGTGCTCTAACACGTTTTTCATAAAACGTGATGTTTTAAAGAGAGGTCTTATAGGCCTTTTTTTATTAAATACTAGCTGATCCGACAAACGTCGTTTTGCCATGTATAATTATCATTTATAATAAAAAATAGGGCTTGATCGTAGAGGGGTGAAAATTAGGGGTTGTATGTATTTTTGTATCCTGTATCATAAATTTTTTTTATCTAGAAATTAAAAATTTTTTTAGGGTTAAGGGAGTCCTATCCTTAACATTTAGGGGGATGAAAAATAGATGTTGTCCGATTCTCAGACATACCCAATATGCACACAAAATTTCACGAGAATTTGTCAAGCCGTTTTGGAGGAGTTTAACCACAAACACCGCGACACGAGAATTTTATATATTAGATTAGTTATTAGCTAATATGAATATTTTTTTTCTAAAAATGTTAATACTTCTTTATAGCCATTTACCATAATGAAATAGATTTCATCCGTTAAAGACATATCATCTATATCGTTGTCTAGGTAGGGGTATAATATAATTCACTTTGTTCGTTAAACTCAAGTTTTTTTTCATATATAAGATGCCCCAACTTGAAGCTCTGGAAGCCCGCGCTCTGATGCTTCACAAGCGTCGCTGCGAATTCCTCATCGAAAGGCGTAGAGCTGACGTGAGAGATCAGGCGCAAGATGTTCTGGCTTTAGTCGGTAAGCATTTTATTTGGTATCGGGAAATTCTAATAGTTTGTTAATTTAATATTTTTATATGATTATCATTTTATTTTGAATCACTAGGCAATGAATAAGTCTGTGGTGTGTAGTGTGGTCTAATAACAGAAGGTTAATTGACTTTTTTTTCCACATTTTCTGTAGATATTTCCCTGATACACAACCTCTTTAGTTGACCTGTTGTGCTTTACCAATGAACACATCCTGCTGCGTCTATTTAATAGCATCTTCATAATGTCTGCCACTATTTATAATCTCTGGCTTGCTAGTCACATTTAAAAAAATAGGGTATGGCTGGAAGTTATTACCCGGAGGAACTTTTATATTTGCGCCAATTATTTGTGGACATTTGAAAAATTAATCTATAATTAGCCCCATTTTTTAATTACAGCTCGACCAGGCTCCATAAAGCCTCCAGATTCTGAAGAAAAACGTCGTCGCTGTGCCGAGCGTGAAGGTCGTCGGCGCGCGCGCAGATTGAAGAGAGAAGCCGCTTCCACATCACATCTGCACCGGGACGGTGACTCCAGTGATGATGAACTGCCTCCCAAGGAGGTTTTACACGTTCAGCATGAGACCGGTATAAACTTATCTCTTAAAACTCCTTCTTCCATTTCAGTATATATATTTGAGATTACTAAGTGGTGTAAAGATAAAAATCTAAGGAATAACTTCTATTAAATTAATATTATTCGTTTATTGATGCCAATTATAATTAAATTAAATTTGATTTTTAAAACTATGACAAAAAAAAATTTTTTTTTTACATATATATAAATAATACTAGCTCAGAATAGTAGTTTATGCAACTGTCATATAATAGAGGGTATTAAAGCATGAGTGTAGTTTTCAAAATTAGATTACACAAGTGTTTTATTACCTAATTGTATGCAGTTGCATACACTACTTTATTTAATCTCAGGGCTATAGGTAGCTACATTAAATAAAATTCAATATAAAAGACACACATTATTTATTATAAGTCTGTTATTGGTCTATTGGCTCGGAACCAGCGCTCACCACAGATAATGTGTACTTAAATTGAATTGAAACCTCCTTGATCGGGACACATTGTACTTTAATAACTAAAAAATTGTTTTAAAGCATTGTTTTGTTAGGAGAATAATGCTTAAATTTAATTTGATAATTTTCTTAAAGAAGTATGTAAATAAAATATGCCAATAAAGGTCTGTATTTCATTTCATAATTAGAATATTACCGAATGAGATTATATATAATAATAAATGTAATTAAAATATAAGTTATTTAAAAAGCCAATAAACAGAACGTAATCAATTAATATAATTAAGATTAAACATGATTAAGATCATTATGCATACGTACATGAGCTGGCAGTAAATATAAATTTAGAGTATTTTTTTATTTTTTACCTATATGATTAAAAAAATGTTTTAATTTAATATTTTGATTTTTCAGATGCAATTCGTCAGTTGTCGTCGTCGTTATTCGCTGATGCGTTGCCGGCATGGCGTAGTATACGGGGTATTTGCGCCAAGATGGCGAGATGGAGACGGAAACACAGCACCCTGTATAGCGATGCCTATATCGCTGACTGCTTGCCGAGGCTCTTAGCGCCTTATGTGAGGCATCAGGTGAGAACTAATTTATTATTAACTAGCTGTGCCCCGCGGTTTCATCCGCTTTACTTTTATCGTAGCTTGATATCAGGCCCGTGTACTTGAATCTAGTTCCTTTTGTAATACAGTAAGTATTTGACGAATCTAATGCACAATAAACAATTTAAATTCACAAGTAATTCCTGATAGTAATTATAATAATTAAATATTTATAAATATAAAAGTAACTATTTCCCAACCTATTCGAGTCCATCAAGAAAAGAGCATACCAATTCTTAATAGACCGGCAACGCCTAGCGAGCCCTCTGGCATTAATTGTCCATGGGCATTAAATTAGATGAACCTTCTGATCCTAGGAAGGATCCTAAAAGAAATTTAAAAATGTGGGTCTGTGGCAGTGTACTTTTAATGCTGGCAGCATTTGCTCGCTGAATTAGGATACTTATTCGTTGAGCGAGGAAGATGTCTGATTAGTTTCAAACAAATTATTCAGCTTTATAACCCACTTGTACTGAACGTCCCCTGGTGGTCCCGTGGTGACTGGTCGTACTTGAATTCGTGTATGCGGTGATGTTAATTATTTCGACTATGTGTTTGCGTGTTGTTCCCACGAGAATGTAAGTGCGTGCTCCTATTTCACCATCCCTCTTGCTGATAGAGGACAAGTCTATGTTTTTTTTTAAATTTATGTTATTATTATTAATTACTTGATATGTCATGTGGAACATGGTGTAATGGTTGCGTAAGGCCACGTTCACACGGCGATTATTTTCCCTTATACCGTATACGAGATTTTATCGAATAGAGTAGTGACAACAGAATATATATGAAAACTTAAAATTGTTTACACGGCGTTCATACGGGAAAATCCCGTGTTCGAGAAATATATTTTACCGTATACCGTGCGAAGTTGTCACCGGAAACGCCGCGTCTCGAAACGATTTTATCGAATACGACACGCAGTGGCGCTTATGTTCATGTTGTGTCATTCACACGACTCGCCCATTCGAGAATCGTACCCACTCGCACGCGTGCGGCGTGGCTCGCAGTTGCCCTTGTGCGTTGCATCAGTCGGTTGTCAATATGGAGGACAGAATTCCAATATTGATCGAGGATTTTATTTCCTTGATCGAAAAAAAAATCGAATCGAATGGTTGCCGTGTGAACGATTGCATCGTATACGTTAAAACCGTATACGTGAAAAAATCCAATCGAATGGTCGCCGTGTGAACGTGGCCTTAAAAACGTTGTGTAAAAAAAAATGGCGATTAAAAAGAGTGGCGGAGAGTTTATTGCCAGTTCTTCTCTTCCGTTCTACGCCCTTGATTTGAGAACTGGCAGTTAATGTAAAATTAGAAGCATTTATGTATATTTCTTTTTTCACGATCATAAGTGTACATTATGTTACCTATATGATTAAATGATTTTTTTACTTTATTTTGCTTTATTTATTTGCAATTTATATAGCATGTATAATTGTATACGAATTACGAAGGGAAAAAAATGTTAAGCGAAAGTGTGTTCTCGTGTTAAGTAAATGTATCAATCAAGAGGAGGCCTGCGTGAATACAAAAAGCTGATCAGTTTATTTTTTTTTATTGTAAATAAAATACTATCAATCAAACAAAAAACTTTTTAACCGGATTATAGTTATGTATTATTATAAATTTACAATTATTTAACATAATTTTAAATTTATCCGACGTTTCGCGTGCTTTACAGCGTGCGTGGTCACGGTGACTGTAATATGTGGTATGTGACCATAACTTTAATCCGGTTAAAAAGTTTTTTCTTTAAATGTGTAAAGGTTATGTTAATCAAAGACCTATGTACTATTAATCAATCAAATATAAAGATATATGTCACAAGTAAAGCTTCTAATAATTTTAGAATTTGTATTTTTTTTTAATTGAACATAATTTAATTTCAGCTCGTAATGTGGAATCCGCTGGCGGATGAAGATAATGAAGATTACGAAAAAATGGACTGGTATAAGTAAGTAAAAAGTGTGGACATTTGACTCTTCGACACAAATCTTAAATCAGGCTTTAATTTTAAGTTTATTTAAAAAAAAATGTCTTTGACCTATTCGTAAAATTATATTATATGTTTCGCAATAATTCGATTCTTCTAAATAATAAGGAACGAGGAAATTATTACATATCTAAATACAACACAAGGCGCCCCATTGTTGTTTCGTTACTATGGTTACATTTATTTTACATGAAAGTTTCGTAACCATGGTAACAAAGATGGTACAATCTAGAACTATCCGTCTATATATTTCCGAATTAATTTGACTGAGAGTCTTTCAAGAAAAGAGCGTACTAATTCTTAAAAGACCGGCAACGCACTCGCGATATTTCTGGCATTGTGAGTGTTCATGGGCGGTACACCCAATATTAAATCAACCTCGGACAGTGTTTAAATATCTTTAGCCCACGATTAGGGAGCGTTCAAATATTACGTAACTAATTTTGGGGGGCCCCCTTTTGTAAATGTTACGATACGGGGCGGGGATTGAATTACGCGTTATTGTTAATATTATTTTCGACATTCCAGTACTTTACACCACATAATGGTAACTTTTAGGTATAAAAAGTCACTAGGTGGTCATGAAACGTTTTACTATACTTGGGTACAGAAAAACGTTACGGCGCGTTACATGGGGGCGGTAAGTCAATAATCTCCAAAAATTGCGTGACGTAATATTTGAACCCTCCCTTACTTAATCCATTCGATTTGAATATTTATTTTATAAATAGTAAAATTAATTATAAATTTCAGATGCCTCATGATGTACGGAGTACGATCTGAAAAGCTTTCAGACGATTCTGAGTCTTCAGAGGATGATATGACTCCCCAATTGAGTGAAGAAACGGTGAGGGATGATGTGGATCTGATGCTGGTACCCACCATACTTGATAAGGTCGTACTGCCCAAGATTGCAGGTAGATGTGGTTTTTAAGGCATTTGAAGTTAAATCCCAAAGGGGCATGGGGCAGGCACACTTTGTCATATCATTTTTGTGTAGAATAAAATCACTTTATAATATGCGCGTTAACTATGGTTAAAGTATTCACTTAACTACCGAACTAATTTTAATAATACTTTATCACGACATAGGCTGCGATCCATAGAGCGGCATCACCAAACAAATTTTGTTGGTAGTTTTTTTAGTACTTTTGAAAACTACCCTCAGTTTGTATGTCATTTTTTATTAAGTTATAACGTGGAAAGAATACTTAAGCCCATATCAAAAGTTAATTCTAGTCTCAAAGGCTGTCAAACCATTTTTTTGTTTGAAGTTTGACATATTTGGCAGCGCTCAAGACGAGAATGTTACTTGATACGAGTTAGAATATGGATCTTAGTGTTTTAGTACAATTTTATAATTGCTGATTAAGTTAACTTATTGTTGTCTAGATCACTGAAAAGTTCAGTTTTGACAAATTGTTGCATTTCACTAAATTATTACGCACTAATATTACACATAATTCAAGTAAATTCAGTAATTTCTTTAACCACCATGACTTTTCACTTTTAATTAGTATTCGGCTCATTGAATGTCAAAATTGAATACGCTTTTGACATAAGGAGCGTTCAAGTATTACGTCACGCAATTTTTGGAGATTATTGATCCCCCCCCCACGCCTTTAACGCACCGTCACGTTTTTCTGTACCCAATAGTAATAACGTTTCGTGACCACCCAGTGACTTTTATACCTAAATGTTACCATTATGTGGTGTAAAGTACTGAAAAGTCGAAAATAATATTAACAATAACGCGTAATTCAATCCCCGCCCCGCATCGTAACGTTTTACAAAAGGAAAAAAATTGCGTGACGTAATACTTGAACGCTCCCTCAGTGCTATATCTCGTCTATTTAAAGAATTTAGTAAAATAAATGGGTGTTAATTTAACAGAGATTGTCGAGAACGCCTGGGACCCGATGTCTGTTCGTGCGTGTATTCGTCTACGCAATATTCTGGTGCGAGCTGCGACTCTTCCTGCCAGGTCTTCTCTAGAGAAGCTCTCTGCGGCCGTTAACTCGCGACTTTCTTCATCGTTGGCAGCTGATGTTTTTCTACCTCCGGCACCTCAGTATGTTACCATTTTTAAACTATTTCAGATAAAGAGAATTGGATTATATTTGTGATGGTCTATTTAGGTTTGCAATTACGTCTGTTAATTTCTTGGAGACCTTAAGTTACTTATATTCAGTAGTTTTATATAGGATTATAGATAACTATATAGGTAGTAAATAATGTGGACAGGTATTTGATGTCGGTTAAATTTTTTTTATTAACTTTCATTTGTTTCATTCATTAATATGCACGAATAAATGTTGTAGCACTTGCATTTTACTTGCTCTTCAAAAATCTGTATAATTATAATAATTAAATACGGTAAACGTCCAGTTTAGACGCTTAAAGTATAATCACTACTTAAGTAATCGTCTTGTACCTAAACGATTACTTAGTCAAGACAATTGAAAAAGTATTCAAATAAAAGATATCATTAAGATTTGGGACTTTGCTGTCGTTCTTTCAAGATTTAAGGCATACGGTTCAAATACGTACGATGTGATTTTCTTTAGATTACAAAGATCCATTCAAACAAATGCTACATAAATGAATTAATGTGGGTCAGTCTACGCTGAAACAGGTCAATGACGTCACGGGCACAGACGCTGTTAAAATACGTAAATTTAAATATCTCAGTCATTGATGGATTATATATAACTTTTTTAGCGAGAGATTAGATTATTTATAAAACAGTGAAACATTTGCATTTTACCTAAACAACACTATACTAAAAACTGGATCATCACAACCACAATATTTGTATTTTACAAAAAATCTATAAAAAGTAAAAATAAAATCATTTCACTGATTTTTTTTATTTTACATAGATTAGCGGATAACGCTGGAAGTCAGTTTTGGAAGCGATGCTTAGGCGCTGGAGTCCGATTACTGCGAGCCTCGCTTTGTCTTTGCGCACCGCCTGACATTCTTAGCGGAGATCATTTGGCACTATCACTAATTGGTATGTAGTTTTATTTAGTAGATAATGCTTAGAGAAATGTACAATTCAAAGTAGTAATCATATTAGAATATCAATATTAATTAATGGATCAGATTTATCATATATCATTATTTTTACGTATACACGATGTTTGTCTTTGCCGTAAGCTTATTGGGCACTTAGAAAGAAGAATCCATTGGCGCACAGTAATGATTCGAGGTTCTCAGAGTTGAAAGCTCAAGCCACTAATCCAACACGGCACTGTATTATTATTTTCCATATATAAAATAAATAAAAGTCTTTTATACACACCTACCTCTCGCTTATCTGCTCCTGTGAATAGGCTATCTCGCTCTTACAATTTAATTACGAAAATACTTATATATTTCACAACAATCTTCCTACTCACAGCAATTTTGTTACTTATGCTTTTAATGAGGATACGTTTCTATTTAGTTTTATTTTGAAATTGCGTTTTATACGTAGTCGGTCCCAAAGTTCTGTCATAAATGGAAATAATGATAAAAACAAAAGTACTGATAAGTTTGTAATGAGTGATATATCAATTCTTAGTACATTAATTAAGGAATAAAAAAAGCATAAAAATATTCGAAATAACCTCCCTCATTTTTAATACAGGCCCTTAAGCGTCGCGCCAGTCTCTATCCAGCACGCACCATATTCGTGTCGATTTCAGTCACTGGTTTTTTAAAGATGACTTCAGATTCTCCAAATTTTCATGAGGTTTATCACAGACCTTCCTCTCTAAGCCCTGTCATAATTTCTGGTCCAAAGGATTAAGGTCCGGACTGGAGGAAGGCCAATCCTCATGTCTAATTAAGACGATGTTTTGACGCTCAAACCAGGCCTTTAGTGGTCTTGGCTTTGTATGCAGACGCAGGAGTCCTGCTGGAACACGAAGTGATGTCCCGCAAATAGGGTGCTGAACATGTCTTTGACAAGGCGATACAAAACCGTCTCTTGGGTACCACTGTAGCACTGGTTTTGACCCCCCTTTTCGAAAAAAATTAACCTCAGTTAGCCCCCGTAATAGGCCCCCCCAACCAAACCATTACTGATGATGGATGATGTCCATGTTGCACTCCTTGGAACTTTATTTTCAGCTTCTTCAGAACCCCTAGCGTACACTGTATAATTCTGTTTATTGTACTTCTCTCAATATCGAAAAATTTTTCGTCCGTAAGGAGGGAGGATATCACGGTGCGGTTTTTCGCGTACCGCTTAAACAACACCCGATCTCTTAAGCCTTATTTTGACGTCATATTTGTATTAGACCAAGTCTATTTAAAACCTTTTTCTACTGTTTCCTACCGACACCCATCTGCAAATCATCAATCTTTTTGGGGCGGTTTCTTTCTTTCCCCCCCTTTTTTTCTTTTTTTTTTTTTTTTTTTTTGAGCATGCACTGTTGTTTTTACGAACTAATAAAAGTACCTAAAAACATAGGGTTATATTCAAATTTTTGAGCAAATTTAAAAGGGTACTCGGCGAGGGCCCCCCCCGGGCCACCCCCCAAAACCACTTTTTTTTTTTTTTTCCCCCCCCCCCCCCTTCGAAAAAATTGGGAAAGTAATTGTTTTTGTTTTAAACAATTCAAACTTCCAAAATAGAATGCAATAATTTTTTTATAAAATCCTGCTCGAAATGTAGAAAAATGTGCTAGTGACAGAACTTTGGGACCAAACTCTACTATTTAACAAAGAACATAGCTCCTTGCTTATATGAAATTTAAATTTTAAAATAAATTTAAACCCCCGGAGTTTAAATTTTTAAACCCATATTTTTTTTTTTTTTTTTTTTTTTTTTTTTTTGGGTTTTTTTTTTTTTTTGCATCTTTTGAGCATCATGTTGTTTTAGAACTAAAAGTAAAAACTGGGCCGAAGATTTATAAGAAACCGTGTAAAATGCTCTACTAACAAAGAACAAAGCGTTGCACGTCTATTTTAACTTGAGCTACTTATAAAAAAGATGAAATCAAAGTTCTACGAGGTGAGAGATTCTATATATTGTAATTTCGTACTCCCTAAGTCAATAATTATAACTTCGGGCATCAAACATGTATATTTAAAAATCAAAAGTAATATTTCGATCTGGAACAGACCATTATTGACCATAATGTGACAAAAAGTGGTTATTCAGTATGAATGATGTCCACAGAGACGCTTTGCTGCGCGGCGGGAGCAGCACCCGGACCGCAGATGAGTGCGGCGGCTGCGGCTCTCGCGAATACGCTGCCTCGTACGGGACCCCTTGAGGACTACGGCTCTCAACAGGCTGGCCAAGTTGGCGCACCTCGCCCTGACGAGGCTGCAGTCTGACAATCCGCTGCATTTGTGAGTATGATCGAAATCTCTTGGTCCGCAATTATATTAAAATAAAAAACCTTATCTCCTAAACAAGGGAGCGTTCAAGTAATACGTCACGCAATTTTTGGAGATTATTGACCCCATATAACATGCCGTAACGTTTTTCTGTACCCAATAGTAAAAAGGGTTCGTGACCACCCAGTGACTCTTTATACTTTAAAGTTACCATTATGTGGTGGTATATTTTTACGCATTGTTACAGAAAAGCACTAGAACAAGCAAGAGCGGTATTGGCTGAAGCAAAAGCACTGGAATAAGAAAGTTAAGAAACTATCAAGGCAAATTAATGTAATTATCACTTTAAACATGTTATAAATATTTGACTAACAATATAATACTTAAAAATAATTTAATTTCAGCAATTGGCCTGATGGCAGAATAAAGTATTTAAAACATGGTGTTATACCAAACATAGATTTTATTCTAATCTATATTTCTATTTTACAGACATAAACCACACTTCACCCACTAATACAATAAATTCAAAAAGCCATTTGATGGTATAGCACCTATTTGGTATAAAAGTTATATGAGACATTATGGTTATATGTTATGTAAGGTATATGATTGTCGTGTTTAAAACATTTGTTTTACCTTATTACACTCAATATTTAGTTATACAGGTTACTTTGTTTACCTACAATTAGCCATAATGTAAATGCAGTGCAAGAAAAAGGAAAAATGTACATACCGTTATGCAAAAATATGCATGAAATATTGTTGCAAATAAACTATGGTTATTATTTTCCTGCGAGTAACTGTTCACACTAGATTTATATACATACCCAACATGAATACCATTAGTTGCTATAATTATTATAGGCAATTTATCATGTAATGAGAAATTATTATTGTGAAGAATAAAACATCTGGTGTTTCTAAAACATTTATTTTTCTAAATTACACCTTATACAAATATGAAACATGCTACAATAATAAATTTAATTTAAAAGAAATAAGTATAGGCTTTTTAATCTACATTACAAGTTTTATAATTTTCTTTATATATCATTATTTACTTATATATATTACTACAGTAGTAGTAATAGTACAGTGAGATCAGTAACTTGTTTAATATGTCAAAATTAGACCTGTCAGAAAAGATAACAACAATGCCATCAATTTTCAATACATATGTAAGTAATGAAAACAATATCATATCAGATGGATAATATATGTAAAAATCTTTTTCAAATTTAAATCCTCTTAAGTCTATGTGGCTTCCACATCCAGCGTCAATTTAAATGATCCATCAGAATCTACACAGTGCAAAATATTAGCAATATCCCCCTGCCTCATAAAAATATGAGGATCTGCCAAAAATGCTGTGCCATCAATGAAGCAGTTTGGCCTTTTTGTAGAAATCTCTCCTAAACTCTCCATCAATTCTATGTTATACCAGCAAAGTATACAGTTTGCTTCTTCAGTTTTTTTTATGGCAACATTAATTACATCAGATGCCATATTCATGCATTCTCCTAAATCAGTTGGTGCTGAAAGAGGTATAAAGTCTAAAAGAGAATAATCAAGGCAAAAGTTCTGTGAAGACTGATATTTATTCAAATGCTGAGATATCTTGAAATCACCAATATTCTTGTCATATAGTCGGTTATTAGTATCTAAAGAATCACACCGAGCAATCTGAGCAATAAGTGAAATTTTAGTTGGTAAGAAGAGCCCTCCTGGCAAAAGCCTTGTCTGCTTCAAATATAGAGCAACATCCTTATAGCGTAAATCAATATCTCCGCCAACTTCTAGCATATTACAAAAGACTGCATGATATTTTTCAACACCAAAACTGTCTTGATTCCAGCCATCACCAATCAAATATGATATTTTTGACAGTTCAATATCATTAGCTTTAAAAACTTCATCCATAAAACTTTTATCAAATTCAGTTTTTGCACAGCAAACAATGGATTTAATCCCTCTTTTGAGCATCTGCATGCCAAAAAATGGGAATGGGCACAAATCTACTATGCTCATATCAGACATTTCTGTCATTTGTCCTAAATATACACAAGCTAGACCCAAACAGCTAGTAATTTTTTTTAAGTATTCCAAATCATTTAAAAATCGAATCACATCTGGCGAAACCCTAGTAATCGTTATATTAGTCTCTGGAAGCAGAGTCATTTTCCCAGACTGCGAAGAAAATTTACATACAAACCTCTCATCTTTTTTTACTCTTTGAGGTATTTTATCAAAGAATATTGCATTTTGCCAAGCTTTTGCTCTTGTGGTTGACTGTGGATCTGTAGACAATTTATATTTTTGTGTCAAATTTAAGCTAAACCATCCAATAAAACTGTTTATCTCTCCATCTTGTGTGACAGTCATTTGCACAATGGTTGGCTCTGAATTATTTAACTTATCTTCTATGTTGTTAATATCATTAAAATCAATAGTTGTAACTGACTTTGGTTCTGTTATATATTTCAATGTTTTATAAGACTGAATATCTTCACAGTCATATGATTCATCATTAAGTAAAATATGTGTATTTAAAAAGGGAACCTTCAAGATATCCTTAGTAACTTTACAAAGTTGATATTTGTTAATAAGCTCATTGCATTGAACACCAATAACAAAAAACTCAGCAGAAGATGGTAAAACCTTTGCATTTTCAAGTAGCAGATTTGTCCATGCATGATGTAAAGTTGTTAAAATGTGTTCTCCAAAGAGCCCAGCATCGAATAACTCTGTGATAAGGACACTGCATTTGCCACCAATATCAGTATCATGTAACATTGTTGAATTTTTATTGAGAATTATCAACTGATCTAGAGCATAATCATTAAAAACTGTATTAGCTATATTAGCCATTACTTCAGAGCTGTCACATACTGCTATGGCTTTTGGATTACATTCATTTGCATATAGAGACAGCAGGCCAGTACCACAACCGATATCCAATATACTGTCCTCTGTTGGTCTAATAACATCATGTATCGCTGCCCTGTAAGTTTCATTTCGTATAACATCATTTAACATTCGGAAGTGCCATCTTTCAACAAGCAAATTCTTTACAGAATTTAAATTCTTTTCTGCATTAACAAAACCCGCATCGACTTTTAAAGCTCTTTGAAACTGAAGCCATGCATCAGAATAGTAACCAAACTTGTAAAGATACTTTCCTAGTTCATTCAACAGGTACACATTTTCTGAAAATACAGATATAGCACGCGAAAAATTAGAAAATATATCTTGTATTTTGTCGGCGCTTACTAATACATCATTAAATTTTTTGATAACTATACGAAATTCATCTTCGTAGAGGTCTTTCACACCTGGAAACTTTTCAAAAGCATTCAAATACATATCAAAAGCTTTAGCATAAGATTCATGTATAGTAAGTAGCCGAGCATATTCGATATATTGAATCACTTCTAACGCATCAATATTCGCCATGGCAGTATTATTATATCTAATATAATTATTGTTTAAAAAACCGTTCAATTCACAACGTAGTTCCTACTCGATCTCTCAGGACTGCGGAGTGAAGCAACAGCTGTTTCAAGTAACAATACTCAACGGTTACTTGCTCATTGCGATTGCTGATCGATATTTAATATGTAATATGTATTGTAATTTGTACTTCAGCCTTCAGGGCTGCCAGATGAAAAAAAGCGCATCATCGTACACCAACTACAAAAAAATCGTATACCAAGGAAATTTTGAAATTAAAAGATCTTACAACATAAAAGTGGAAAGTTTTTCTTTGAAATTACTGGCTGCCTTTGCCTTGAAGAATGTAACTTTAAAACTTCATATTCTGAAACCATTTCGACGTCACAAACAGTGCACCTGGCTTTAAATTGGTTTTTACCGGGTCCTAACCAGTCGTTAAATAAATCTAATTTTTCCCAATCGGGACGATACTTCTGTGGTCTGTGTTTGTTGCAGAAAGCTCTCCTCTTTTGGCTAATTTATTTTTTGGAGTACCAGGCGTAGATCGCTCTTCTTCGTTTTCACTACCCATTCTTGCTTAAGCGAAGTGACGTAAAACAAAAAACACTAAAGGCAATATGAAGATCAAAAGAGGATATAATCATTTAGAGCTCGAGACTGATGAAAAACAGGTTTAGAAAGCGCGGGAATCTTCGTTCATGGTAGACGTTTTTTTTCACGGTGGTGAAAATGTAATTTAATTTTACTAGTTAAAACGCAGAGGATAAGCTGGTAGTTTTAATTTTTGTATTATATGTTATCTTTATATCATATTTGTGTATAGTGTCATCGTGTAGTCGGTAAGTTTTTGTAAATATTGTATGAACAAGCCCCCCGACCTCGGTCGGCGGGATGATGGCCATGTTGGCCTGAATCTTCGAATAATCTGTGGGATCAAACGTATCTGTTGGTTCACAAGATGAATTTGACAAAATGGATACGGATTGTTCGTTATCATCTCAGACAGGTGAAGGAAGTCGTAAACGAATACGTTATTTGTGCCTTTGTCGGCAGTGTACGAAGATTAAGAAAAAGAAAGGTAGTGGTGCTAGCGGCGATTACTGTCAGTGCGAAAGCTTATGCAATGTAGAAGATGAGACAATTTTAATCAAAAAGGTTACTTCTAAACCTATATCTCAATCCACGTCATCTCCACACTCGCAAAATAATAATAATTCACATAACACATCCACATCAACAACACACATCAACATCTTACATGGAAAATTCAAATATCTCTCAAGACTCTAACGCGGGAAATTTAAACAACACCACAGCTTCAGTAACCAATACGGAGCCCCGTTCGATTGGCCGTACTGAATATGTTCCTACTGATGTTTCCCCTTATTTAATACATGTTCAACGTATACAAAGTTCACCTGACGACGGGACCATTCTCCATCCTATAACATTTGGCAATTTTTTAAAGCAAAACAAATTTAATAATATTATTCCCGGAAGTGTAAAGCGTATAGGAAGAAACAGGTGCGTAGTTGGCTTTTCAGATTATAAAGACGCCAATAATTTTCTTAACTGCAATCTTTTGGAAACGAAAAAGTTAAAAGCCTTCATTCCTACTTTCAGCGTAACAAGAATGGGTCTAGTTCGCGGGGTCCCTGTAGATTGTAGTGTAGAGGAAGTTCAACAAAATGTATCCGTACCTATAGGCTGCGGCAACATACTTAAAATAAGACGTTTGAATCGCAAGGTGAAAATTAATGACTCGGTTTCTTGGAAACCCTCTGAAACAGGTGTAATAACATTTGATGGGCAAGTTTTACCAAAAAGGATTTTCATGTGCTATAATGCTCTTCCAGTAGAGATATATATTCAAAAATAATATATTTTAAATAGTATATAAATAATATAATAGGTAAGTAATAAATAAATAGGTAACAAATAACAAGTGTGTTTGATAGTATGTGCAAAGGGTGTGCGGTGTAGCGGGAGGGCTTAATTAGCTCGTGTAGTGGATCGGATAAAATAACTTAGCTTCGCATATTTTAGTTAGTGACATAGTTAGTTCGCATAGTTTGCGGTTGCAAGATGTATGGAAAATTGCGTCAGCTATGCGAGCTAAGCTAAACTAACGTAGCTTAGCTCTTGGTCTGCAACGCGTATTATCCTACGATACAATGCTATAAATGCTGCCGTTATGGTCATACCAAAGTTCAATGTCGTTCTAAGACTCCAATATGTTATAACTGTGGAGGTCAACATGCAGGTGTATCATGTGACAGGTCAGATGAAGATCCTCTGTACTGTGTAATGTGTGAAGTCGAAGGGTCCCATTCAGCTATAGATAAATCATGTCCAGAATTTGTGAGACAGACAGAAATCAAAGTTAAAATGGCACAGAGCTGCATGTGTTATGCCGAAGCCAGTAAATATTTTCCTTCTGTTAAGCCTTCATACGCAGATGCATTAAGTTCAACAATTCCAGAAGTTCCAAAACCCGCATATTCTTCCGCAGCGAAGTCTGTATCTCGAAACAATTCTACTGATCCCCGATTTTAAAAGGACAGTATTCTTAAAACCTCGCTCTCCTCCTAAACCTCGACATGGTTATGATCGTGTTGCTCATAATAATGTATTAAAAGACTTCCAAGTTCCAGAGCCTAAAAATGGCAGTGCTCTGGTTGGTCTCAAAAATAAAGAGGAAGAAAAATCTGATGTCTTAGAAATGATACTAGCATTATTAACTACTTTAATAAACTCAAACTTACTGCAACCGTCCCACGTTGCCTCTATTAATGAAAAAGTGAAATCAATTAATGTTATTAAAAATAATGGATTGCAAGATAATTCAATGGAATTGCATGAGTGTTGTTCCAAAGAAATATGATTAAATATATTTGATAAATAAACATTCTCCTGTTGTTGTCGCGTTATCTGAGACGTGGTTGAAGCCAAGGGTACCTATTTAGGATCCCTGGATATACTTCCTTGCGAAATGATAGATTTGATGGCCATGGTGGCGTAGCATTACTTGTCAGAAACTTTTTTTTCTTTCTGAAATAGTGTTTTCTTCATTAATCTCTAATGATGCCATTAATATTGTCGGCATGAAAATTGATAATATTTCTTCGTATTGTTGATAGTAATATTTGCGAGTGTGGAGAAGATATTGGTGACCTCGACCATATTTTCTTTTCTTGTTTCCAATATGACCGCACCTCCTTTCTGAATTCCTCACAATTACTTCATGTTCCGTTTCCGACTAAAATCTGTTGCCTTTTGCTTTATCCTTTATTGTATTATAATCTTCTTTCATAATTAATAATAATATTAAGATGTAATATGTTTGTGTACATATTTTGTTTTTAACCAGCTTATCCCTTTATTACCTTTTGATGTCTTTGTTTTTTTTTCTCGCGTGTAGGTTCCCAAACCTATTACTTGAAACTGGCATAAAGTTAAAACTATAGCCATAATATTAAAAAACAAAACACAACAGGTTTATGATGACTATTAAAATACAAGTCTTTACAATAGTATATAATAAGTTTTGTAACAATGCACACAAAAACAGACTTTTTATGAAAAATGGGTCTTTAGGCGTAATGGGTCATTCAAGTAAAAGATCTAGGCATACGTTAGGTTGTTGGCGAATTCCGCGAACATAATACTTGCCGGTGTAGTATATTTGTTAACGTAAAATTGTAAATACCGTTAGATTGTAATCTATTTTACGAGATTATAAACTGTCGAAAGATTGTGAACTCAACGTACTGCTTACAATTTAACGTATTATTATTCGTAGATTAATTGATATACAAAAACCCAAGATGCAAATAAGTTAAAAAAGTCTAAAAAATGAGCAAATTCTAAATTGTGGCTCATTTAAATAGTCTCGCGTCTATAAGTGGAGTCGATGTTATTTATTTGTGTTTTTTTATAAATAAATTTATGTATCTTGAACTTTTTTGTGTGTAGTTTTTGAAAATATATTTAGCTATATAAAGTGTGGGTCAGGAGGTAGCCAATTTAACATTTTTTTAATTTAAAGAAAAACTTTTTATCGGATTAATGTTATGTATTATTATAAATTTACAATTATTTAACATCCAACACCTTTTGTTTCAGTCACCGTGACCACTCACGCTGTAAAGCACCGAAAAGTCGGATAAATTTAAAATTATGTTAAATAGTTGTAAATAAAAAAGTCATGTTCGACTCCACTCAATACCTTGTCCTACCCCGACCACGGTCGGTCGTAAAATTTTTTTTCTTTAAATACGTACACACTGCGTTGTAATAACAACTTTAAGCAATTCGCGTAAGGTTGATTTTGCAATAATATATGCTTGTAACATATACTTTATGGACGAAATAGTGTTTCGGGAACTTTCGGCATTACTTTTATTCGAGACTGTGCATCTTGGGTTTTTTGTATATCAATGGTAGATTATAATCTATCGAAGTGAAATCGTCAAATTGTGAAACGGTACGCGCCTCGCGCGCTGATTGGTCGGCTTTATAGTAGACCGCTAGATGTCCATAGAGTTAGGAATGAAACAAGGGTATCGGTCAAATAAAATGAATGCACTTCAAAAATTAGTATTTATTACTTAGTAGGTAATCAATAATTCTGACATCACATGATGAAAAAAAAATATATCAAAATAAAAAAATCAGAAACGTAACAATATTTTCTCTTCAAACACAAATTAAAATGGAAAAATTAATAAAATATTCTTTTAGAAAAAAACGATCACAAAATAAAATCAAAAATAAAAAACATCAAATTGAAAACATATGAACTTTTTGAAAACAACAAAATTGTCTATTATATAAAAAATAAGAAAGTAAATTGCACCAATAAAAATGTTCAATTATTGTTGCACGTCAACGAGTTGTGGCACCTGGAGTTACAAAGAACATTAGCTTTCTTGCAATTACACTTCTTCGAAACGCATAGTCAATTTTTTATATTTTTGCAATTAAATTTTTTACTATTTTCATTATGCCCGCTGTAATAGTTTTGTAACTCTATGGTAAATTCTTCCTGATTAACAATACCTAATATTTCTGAGTTTTGTTGATCGACAGGCTCAATATCCGACATTGTAAATACGAGATCACAAAGGTTCACGCGAATAAAAAAATATTAAGACACGGAAAATGTATGTAATTTAGACTATGTTTGGAGACCAACACTAACTTAATTATCATTCAAACTGCACTTCTTTGGTCAATCACAGATTAATTTGACTTCCACAACAATTTCATGTAACTTTTCACGATCACTTTCAACATCCTAAAGCTGTGAGTTACTTTCAACACGACATCAATTTACATTTACCAAAACACCGTTTGTTTACATTCGACAACAAACGAATTAACAAACAAATATGGTGGCGCGTGGCATATTACGTTCAACCAATCAGCGCGCGAGGTGCGTACCGTTTCACAATTTGACGATTTCACTTCGATAGATTATAATCTACCGAATAATAATACGTTAAATTGTAAGCAGTACGTTGAGTTCACAATCTTTCGACAGTTTACAATCTCGCGAGATAGATTACAATCTAACGGTGTTTACAATTTTACGTTGACATATTCGTTTTAATTACGAAATGTTGCCAGGTACAGAAAAATCGTAGGAGTACGATTTAAATCGTACATCTGGCAGCCCTGATGTACTTCATAGTCAGTGATGCCAACTCCTTCAAAATGTTCCCCCGAGGACCAACTTCAAATACCCCTAAATGTCGATCAAAACCCCCTGAAGTTTTTGTTGTACACTTGGTTTGAGAGGTAATTTCAAATATGAATTGAAAATACGTTGAAATAGTAAAAAAAACTGTTATATTTATATGAATACATTTTACATATTTATATATTATGTTTATCAATGACCGAATAATATTAATGATAATAACAATGAGATGAAACGATTCCTATTTTATTTCTTAACTTTTCTTTCTTCGAATTCGGTTTTTCTTAACGTTTCTTGGCAGACAATTTTTTGCGTTTTCGTCATTTTCTTTTCATACATTATTTTTAAAGCTTTTTGAACTTTTCTTTTTTATCCGTTTTGTTACAGTGAAACGAGACAGAATAAAAATAAAAACGAATTGCTTCAATTTCTCATTTTTTTTCCTTTTAACACATTATATGTTATTGGGATAACCTTCTAATATTTCGTCGAAGGCATCGGCCTGAATATCGCGCTGCGTTTTGCTGTTGCTGATATTTTTGAAATCGTACATATTGACGTTACATGATTTGATCATACGGTCAGAAGGAACAAATTTGACACATGAAATTATTGGTTTTCGATATTTAACCTGGCTACAGTTTAAATAGGAATTGGATTAGAGTTTGTATTTGGTTTAGTTTGTTGATTGCGTTCGAAGCTTAATATAAATTGTATAGAATCGTGTCTTTGTAGAGAAAAAAAAATCGTAAATAAAGTACCCCCTAAAAAAACCCCTGGACATCTTTATTACCCTTCAAATTTGGGGGGAAAACCCCCAAGTTGGCATCACTGTTCATAGTGCATTTTTCTCGTATGTAAACATTAACAGAGAAACTCTGACAATTGACTCAAGTCAAAGAAATGTCTTTTTCATGTTTGACAACTGACCACCTACTTATACCGGCGTGTTGTTCGCATTAGCCAATAGCCATTAAGTATAGAAATCTCTAAATCTTACACTTGATTTGACATACGAAAGCGCTACTTATCGCTAAGTTGCGATTATGAAATAGAAATTAGAAAGACCTAAGCTTACTACCCATAAAATATTAGCTAAATATTGGAAATACATAAAAATATTTTTATACTACAACGTTTGTAGTGTAAAGTCATTAAATAATGTATAATGGAGGGATTTGTCATTTGATAAGTTTACAGTATTTCCTGTACTTCAGGGTTGAGAGGCCCCCGCTCAAACCACTACACCAACACTGAGAAACCCTTTTGCTTCCTTCTTTCTACATTCTAATGTACATAACAGTATTTTTATATGACTAAGTTTTCTGTCACCCCTGAGTATATATGACATGTTTATATTTTGATGGATGTATTTTGCATGAAAAATTAACGGAAAAGAATCAAGATAGCTTTTTCATTTTATTGTACCTATTTCATACATAAAACATACACATAGCTATAAGCTAGCCACAATAATTGTACTCCATGGACCACATTTTAGCTTACACTCTGTTTTATATTTATATGATTTCTTGAAATATACCACTTTTTGATATTCTTCTATGCATAAACCTAACTGTCCATATTTATTATTTCCACTTGTCCATATCGATCTATCTTCTAATACAATTGCAGTGTGTCTGGTACCACAAGCTACGTCAATTACATTTATTTGTATTTCTTGACCATCACCATCATAAATATCAACCAAGGTGGGTAAACCAAAAGTTTGTAAATTTTCAGACCCTTGTTTGACTCCCAATTGACCCATATCATTCCATCCCCACACATACAAGTCTCCAAATTCACTCAAAGCACAAGAGTGCCAACCTCCTGCACTTATTTTAATAATTTTTATACCAGCTAGGGCTTTGACTTCTGTAGGAGACTCTAAATTATTCAATTCACCATGTCCTAATTGTAGCCTCCTAAAATATATTATGACACATAAATGGTAAAGTTCTCCTTATTGGATACTAAATTATTTAAATTACAATGAAAAGAGTACATAACTTACCGACCATTACCCCAAGTATAAATTTGACCAGTATCTGTAAGTAGAATTGCATGTTCATTTCCCAATACAACATCTACAATTTTTCCATTGCAATGCCCAGTGTTCAAGTGTATAGGCAATATCCCACAATAAATATCTCCTTGATTTGAAAGGTAGATACAATTATTATTTGTCATTACAACTTTTACTATCTGTACGTCATCAACATTCATAGCTTCAATAAATTTAATACTTTTATACTCATGTGTTTTCAAATTATAAATGAATACAATACTTGAGCCGGTTCCAACTAAAATTAAATTGTAATCATTTCCACTGGTTAGAATGCAAGTATTCTTCAATTTTTCTGGAATGGGAATTTCTCTGTATTGATCGTCTTTACTTTGAAATGCTCCTGATACATACAAACTGTCACCTTCTCGAAACAAATTGTAAGACCAACAAATACATATCACTTCAGCTATATGAGGTTGTCCATTTTTACATGTTGGTTTAAATTTGTCAAATATTAAATCTTCATGTAGCCACTGATGGAATAAGTTTGATCCTGCTACTTTATACATTTCAGGTTCTAGTGAAGCTTACAACAAACTATATTTCTTTTTATTATGTGTATTTTGACAAATAATGATAACATTAATGAGCACTTAGGTAAAAATATTAAAGTCTAAATTAATTAAAAACATGAGTTTGTTATATAAAAAATACATTAAGTATTAGTTGTTCTATCAGATTTTAGGGCAGGCAACCCAAGACTTATGATAAAATTAAGAAAATCAGATAAATAAGAAATAAAATAGTGATGACTTTCTAGAGACTAAAAAAACGTAACAAATAACAATATTTCTATTTTGGATTTTACGATTTTTCATACTTTCAAGTCTGTGGAATACACAGATATAACAGAACTGTGTTCATTGTTCAATCGTAATCGTATTCCATAGAGTATATTATATATAGATTATAGGATGTCGTATAACGTATTCTAATTTCTAGGTACAGGTACAGGTAGGTGTTCTGTACTTGTAAATGCCGGCTTGATGCTGGTCTTTTTCTCAATTATTATTGGTAATGTTTGCATTGTATAGTGTTAACGTGTCATAGTGGTGTAGATTTAATCAATCTAGTAGTTAGGTATCAAGTATTTAGATAGTATTATTTAAAATGTTTTCTGAAAACTGATATGAAACTTAATTGAAATGGTCTACAAATCAATATGGCTCTTAAGCTTGGAAAATGCAGGCTTTGCCTCAAACTTGGGGATTTCTACTCAATCTTTGCCGTCGATAATAATTTGCAACTCGCCGAAATGGTCATGGAATGTGCACGGGTTAAAGTAAGTTTTATCTTTTATAATACTAAATTTTTCACAATTGCCGATGACATCCATTTTGTTTCCCTTCATACATCATCATTACCTAATGTTTGAGATCATGTTTCGTCGAATTCTGACTTCGAGTTTCTTTATTTTTATCAAAATCCACATCTGTTTAGAATCAATAATCTAATGCCTTATCTGGATTTGTTATAACATTAAAGTTATTAAATTCTTCCTAAGTCATCATTTGAATGTAACTTGAATTTTTATGTAGGCATAAGAGAAATGTGTTTGCTTGTGGTATAAAATACTATGTATGAAAAGTTGTACCATGTTATATATTTCAATATCTACTAAATCTTAATTTCACTAGTTCTCTTGTTGTTTTTGTTATAACTTAGTTGTCTTTAGGTTTATTTTGTCTTAAACTAACATTTTTTTTGTCGAATTTGTATGTATATATTACAACTATTTTCTAAGGTACATTAATGTTTGGGAATCAATATTCCTTTTCTAACTGTATGCTATCCATACAATTTATGTAATTGTAATGTTGTAGTTCTCATCAAAAAATGTCACTGAAAATGAACATATATAATATTTTTTATTTGAGATATACAGTTTAATTAGATAGTTAAACAAAATTATTTGTTAAATCAAGTGAAACAAAAGAGGTGTAAATAAAGAGTGTTAAAAAATAAGGAAAGAAAAAATCTAATTATGTGATGGAAAGAAGAAATGATTAATAAAAGAAAAACAGTTTTCCCTAACCCCAAATCAACAGATCAACTGACTATCTATAACAACTGAATCTAATAATAGTATCACTAGAGTCCCTGTAGTCTCAATATTTAAGTTCATTAATGAGAGGCATGTAAAGGATATGTGTCTGTTTTTATAAACAATAAAATTTATGTATGAATAAAAAACTTAATATTCTTTCTTAAAAATAAAATTGAATGAATTGAATTCTTGACCTTTGTGAAATAAAGTTTCATCAATATACTTTTTTCTAATTGATAAAACATTTAAAACCATCTGAGTCTTATATTAGTACTGTAGGTGTATCAATAAGGGCAAACATTCAAAAGTTACAATCTACTTAATGTTCATTAATTATATGGAAAAAATTTAAAGCATTGAATTTTTTTTTATAAAATATATGGAAGCGTTGATTGCTTTAACTGCAAGACTGAAAACTCCATATACTCAGTCTTGCAGGTCATATTTCAGAAGGTAAATGACATGTTGCTGAGAGAGTTGTCAAAAGACTTATGAAGTTAGTGTGACACTGTACAGAGACACATTTTTCAATATTTTTTGTTAAAAAATCTGTTGTTATTTTTGATAAGAACATCCTCATAGTATTTAGGTATCACAAAGTTAGCCGGTTTCTGTTATCAAGCGTATTCAATGTAACCCCAATGTATAATCAAATGTTAATGTTTTCTTTACGTTATCCAAATAAATTTAGCATAATTCCAGCAACCAGGCTAATGTAACGTATAATCTTCTTGTTCAAGTTCCGAAGTGTTTATCTTATTAATGTGCAACGTCTATGCACGTTTTCGTCCAATCAAAAATCTCATCGAACTTGGTTATTTTCACCATTTAACACTTACGTACCTAATCTGAAATCGGTATAAAATTCTGTCTTTCACATAATTTTGGATGGTACAACGTGCATTTATAAATTTAAATAGGAAGGAGAGAAGAAGCTTAAAAAGGAAACTTGAATATTTCGTACACGTCTTACGTAACACCAAAAAATATGAGCTCCTTCAACTAATCATTCAAGGCACAGTGGAATGTAGGAGACCTAGCCGCAGACGCATACCTTGGTTGAATATAATGGTTTGATCAAAGCACCTAGTCATTGTACAGAATCGGGATATCCAAAATTGAAGTGGCCATGATGATCGCCTACCTTCGAAAGGAGATGGCGATCATCATGGCGATGATTAATTTCAATTACAGCGACGATTTCATATCGTATAATTTGCAGCGAATAGTGTAGGAAATTATGTATCGTAGTGAATGCGAAATTAGTAGAAAATTAAATTAAAATTTTAAAGAAAAATATTTTTGTAACTCATATTTATTATAACTAATATTTATAATTAATCACAAAACATATTAATTAGTTATTGTAAAACAAGCTTTCACCAAACAAGCTTTCGCTTGATGAATAAAAACGTTATTTCCGGAATAACATCTAACAATCTACCTATCCTAGATATTTAGGCGTGATTTTGGAAATAACTCCTTTAGAAGCAAAGAGTATCGAGCGTTCTGTCTGATAAGCGGCATCTTATGTCAGAAGCTATACATCTGAAAATGCGATCTCAGACTCAACACTGGCTGGCTGTTTTTACTGTATTACTGCTGCGAGAAGCAAAGTTACCCCTCGCTCCCCGATCTTATAGATTAATTTCCCTTTTTCTCTATGAGTGACTCTTATCTATCTTATCTCGAAGATACACTGCTCTCAGTGTCTCTTCTAATTCCTCTTAAAGAGTCGTGTTGACAGTTTTTATAGCAATTATTGAAAGAGGCAATTGATCTGAGTTTTCTGTTGCTGTAAAAAGTTAATCTGACGATATAATCGTTTGATTGTTTTAAAAAAAATTCTGTACAATAGATAAATTCGCTAGGGAAATGGAAAATTTCCACGGCTTTCAACTGTTCCAAGTCATCTATATATTGTTCAAAAACGAAAAAAACAGAGATTTTCGAATAATTATAACCACGCTGCAGTTTCATTTATTGAACACTCGCGTCGCACTACGCTTGTTCATGGAAGTGACTTACTTTCTTATACTACTGCATCTTAATCTCGTAAATCCTACGAGATCTCGTCATTTTATGATTCGGGATTGATTTCGTGGCATTTTTCGAGGGGATTGCATTACCTAAATATCATATTTGACCAGTGTGTCAGTGGCAGACAGTTCTAGTTCAAAGCACACATTACTAGGACAAAGAAATTCTGGAATGCGTACATAACGCAGAGCATTACCTGAGGGCCAACCATGAACTGTCTTTAAAAGATCCAATTGAGATACTGATGAGTTTAGGTTCCTAAATTCAATTAAACAATGCAAAACGAACTACAAGTTGATGAATTAGAAATCCGATCATATGGGAAAAATATTACGACACAAGTTGTATGTGTAATATTACAAACAAGTTACACTTATAAATGTAGGATGTTTGAAGAAAAATATGAGAAATGGAATAAAAATATTAATAAGTACCTAAAAGAAGCAATCTAAGAACACTTAACAAGTAAAAAATGGAACCTTTTTTTTCATGGAAATTAAAATTCGAAGAGATTACGACTGACATCATATAAAAGTCTCGAAAGAGTAATAATAATAATTTATTTATTGCAATAATATGGTACAAAAATGTTAAGGTGGTACAGTAATTCTTCTATTATCTGTATCGTACATATCATAGTTTATTTAATTTATATCAATTACAGTGTCTCACGCAAATAATCATTTATTGAATAGTACATTTTGTCCAAAAGTAATACACTAAGTAGCTTTTTTAGTCGGAAGATCTTTTAATTATTTTGGTAATTTATTGTAAACTTTAATTGCCATACAAAAGGTGTTTTTCCGAAACAGTTCTAGATTGATTTTTGGCACAGCCAATTTCTCCCCATGTCTAATTCTTACTTCGACTTCTACATTCGACTTAAAAATATGTATATTTTTTGTGCACGAATAAGGATATTCCTAAAATATAAACATGGAAGAGATAAAATTTTGAGTTTCTTCAATGAGAAGTACCGTACGCAACTATCAAGACAGTTTGCTCCACAAATTGCTCTAATACATTTCTTTTGAGCCTTAATCTCTATTTACTTCGACTGAATTTCCCCAAACTATAATTCCATATCTAAGTATAGATGAAACATATGCATGATAAGCAGTTAGTACCGTAGCATGGTTAACAGTTTCCCTTAGTCGTTTTAACACAAAAACAAAACTGTCTATTTTGTTCTGTAATTTTTCAATATGTGCTTTCCAACTACAAAATTTATCTATCGTTATACCTAAAAATCTCGTTCATTATGTCCAGTTTATTGCTTTTATATTGTAAGTCTATTTGTGTTTTAGAGTTGTAAGTCTGAAAATGGATTATGTTAGTTTTGGTCATGTTTATTTGTAGATTATTTGAATTCATCCAGTTGATGGCGTTGACTAGAGATTTAATCAAGTTGTTTTTTAAATCTTGTTCGTTTTTACTTTTTATTATAAGTGTAGTGTCATCAGCAAATAGTATACAGTTCTGATGTATAGTATCTGGGAGGTCATTTATGTATGTTAGAAAAAGTAGTGGGGCCAAAATACTGCCTTGAGGTGTTCCGTACTCATTTTTCTTACAATTGTATCTATAGGTTTTTTGTTCTAGTTTACAAATCTTTGTTATTTCCACATATTCTATTTTATTTTCAAGGTATCTTTTCACCTAGTTATAAGCATTACCTCTTATTCCGTAGCATTCTAATTTTTTTAACAGTCTTTCATGACAAACAAAGTCAAAAGCCATATCTGTGTGTGTGTGTTTTGGTATCTAAATTATCGTATCCTGTAGATATTGTATTTTTCAACGATGTAATATTTTTTAATATATATCCGTTTTATTTATAGGGAAAAGAAAAATACTTTTATGATTTAGAGGGATTTTGGCTTCTGGCAAATTGTTTGTTTTATTTTTAGTAGGCAGTGAGGTAAAATAGTCATTAAATAAGTTGCATATTTTATGTGGGGATTCATATGTTTTGTTATCGATATTAATTGCTTCTATTCCTGAATAAAATGTCAAGTCTCGCGTATTTGTTTTAATAATATTCCAGGCTGCTCTAGTTTTGTTTTTTGCGCAATTTATGTATTCTGCATTAGTAAGCTGGTATTTATGTAAACATTTTTTTAAAATAGATGAGTACTAGCCGTTTCGCGCCCGCTTTACTGGACGAATTAAAATAAATTTTATGTTTCATTATTATTATTTTTTTCATATTTTTATTATTCTTCTTTTTAACTTCCCGCTAAGAAAATTGAAATATTTCGAAAATCGAGTTTTTTAACAGATGTTGACGTTTAGAGGTTCTAGGAAGCCTCCCCGAATGTTTCCGCGGTGAAGTCCGTATGGATAAATTTTCATAAAAGTAAAACAGCAATAAAAAAATGGTGGTAGTTTCATGTCGATACGATCAGTGGTTTAGGCGTGAAGGAGCCTCAAACGAAGACCATTTTTCTTTTATATATATAGATTTATTACATGCAGATTTATTTTGTAATAATCAATTGGATAGAAAAATAAATCTGTGTTAAATTAAGCTACTGAGACATACAGGAAGTAAAAATATTAGAAACAGAGGGTAGAATACGCCCAATAGTAGTAACATTTCTACTTCAATGGAAACAGAAAAGAGCTCTGAAATTCTGATAGACCATATTATGCATATAAAACGGGACTATCCAAAATACGTACTAGAAAGAAGAAAGGAACTGCAAGAGCAGATAGAATAGAGAGAGTGAGAAAGGAAATACAGCCGTACTAAAATATGATGAACTCATAGTAACCAAAAACATATGTAAACGAAAACTGCTCGATTCGCCTAAAAATTTCATCCTTGCATCTAATACAGATATAAACACACTGAACCAACGACAAGAACGTGAGACATTGGACCGGAGGTCCCACAGCATCTCGAAGAGAGCCATCATAACGGGCAAAATGTCTATCTCTCAAATAAAAAGCAGCAAATATGGTTTTATAGTGCACAAACCACACAAAAGGAACATAGTCAACTTCAATGGTATGACTGAAGGAGTAGCCTCGTAGTATACCTATGCACCAACAGAATACATATCACCATAATAATACATAATTAAGAAAAAAAGTTTTTTATTTTGGGCGGTTAGATATTGAGCAGCTTATTTAATTTATATTGGGTCATATTGGGCCTAGTCTGGAAGTCAGTCATTGCTGTCTAACCGACGACAACATGCCTATTTATTTTTAAATCCAGCCTACGATCAAAGGGGAGCACACTGTGTGCTTTTCAAATTATATTTAGGACATACAGCTTCCTGACGGAAAGTAATTAGCTGAGATGGTAAATCTCTTCCGATGGCAAAATGTATGGCCGAAATAGCATTACTTTTAAAAGAGCCCTTTGAGCTCGCTCTAATTGTAAAAAAAAATTTTGGCCGCTCCTCATATTTTTATACGTTCGTACGGACTGAGCAAGTGATATGTAAATTCTTCATTTGATGCTACGTGTCGGAAAGCTTTACAAATGTAGGGTAATTTTTTAAATCTATCAGTCATAGACTATGTAGGAATACCACGATAGTCGCTCGTCTATATGAAAGCCCAAATATTTTTTTAGAGCTTAAGAAGATGCAAACGAACACAAAATAGATGATAAACACATAATTGTGGGTGGTAGATGTAGATGACTTCAATGCGAAGATGGCAATCCGTAAGAAGGACAGTTGTATCCTTGCCGAATATTAACTAGATAGAAATAAAATATATTTAAAGTAACAATAATTATAAACGGATAGGATTAATTACAAAAATTAAATTTAAATTAGACATACCTACCCAATACCTACCTAAAATTAAATTTTGTGTGCATATTGGGCATGTCTGAGAATCGGACATCTATTTTTTATCCCCCTAAATGTTAAGGGTAGTCCAAGTTTCATAGTTCTTGGTTCAAGTCCACCCCTAAATTATTTTTTGAAAATTTTTAGAAAATATTTTTTTTATGATACAGCATTAAAAAATACATACAACCCCTAATTTTCACCCCTCTACGATCAAGCCCTATTTTTTATTATAAATGATAATTATACATGGCAAAACGACGTTTGCCGGATCAGCTAGTAGGTATATAAAACAAACTCGAGTTTGTTCGAACGCTTATAATTCGAGAACGGCTGGACCAATTTCATAGTTCTTGATTTTCGTTGTGTATTATACGTATATATGTCACCGTCTAATAACTAATCACAAAATTTGGAAAATTGAAGGAAAAAAGTCCAATACAAAATGTCGTGTCATGGGCTTTGTAACGTTACGTTTTGTTTTATGTTTTAACATTTTATGCCAATCGACAGTCACAAGTATGTTTGTTATTTTTTAGATACAAGAAGGGGATGGTCTTACAGATAAAATATGTGGAGAGTGCGTACAAAAATTGAGCAGTGCGCATATATTTAAGCAACAATGTGAAAGATCGGACCAAGAATTACGAAGAAATTATGTTCCACCGCCAGGTAAGTCAGTTTTCGTGTAAATAATTTCTTCTCAAAAAGTTATTGTAGTGAATCGACTTCAGAGCCTTTAGAAGGAACATCATGATGTTAAAGTATAAATTATTTATTTACACTTCGTTAGCATAATATACAATATTATACATATAAAAAACAAAAAAAACAGGTTACATAAGTTATTAGACAACGGGCGGCCTTATCGCTAACAAAGTATTATTAGATTAGAAAAATTTAACTTAATGTTTAATCGTTTGAACAACTTCTTGCAATTGAAAAAATTTACCTATGAGATGGCAAAAGTGCAAGACAATGGTTCATACTTTGATTAATTAAATATATTATATTTAAAAATATTCGACTTTTTGTTCCTCCCATACAAAACGCCAATTTCATATGTAAGGACGTAATATTGAAAATTAACAGTTTTAACACGCTATCTTTGTATTTAATGAGATTAGGTTATAGATTCGTGTTCCGTGTAACCCCAAATTCGCCCACGGAGTGCATCTTAAACTTTTCATACTAATATAATTTTGTATTGGTACTATTACATTACGACAGCTGTCCGATTTCAGGTATTGTTCGTGCTAAAGGTGCTTTATTTTATATTATTTCCTCAGCCATAGTTAATGTTATCGTAATCTTTACAGGTTTTATTTCATCAACACCACCGCCAATTAACAGGCAGAGCAGTGACTCAGCTTTCTCTAATCACACGGATACTTCTAAACTATCTTCAGCCGGCGAAAGTAAAGTTAAGCCGATCAGTAGAATTCGTAAAAGAAGTAGGGATAGCATCGATAATGCATCCAGTAGCAGTATCTCCCATGAATACCATCCTGTTACTTCTAAGAGAGTTGAAGAACTACGAAAGTCTAAAAAAATTAGAAAAATTCAGGACAATGATGACTCTGATTTCGAAGATAACACTACCTCTTTCTTCTTTGGTGGAACAGACTCTGATGAACCTCTTGAGTTTAAGTGTGACATCTGTTCTAAATCGTTTAAAACCTATCTTAGCATGATTTCTCATAAAAAATGTCACAGTCGTAGGGATAGGCAATCGGCTATGGCGGCATCCTCAACTACGGCTGTGAAACCAACTCCTGAAATTGTAACTCAGATAGCTGATGTCAAGGATGAAGACAAATCTAAGTGTGAGATCTGTGGAAAAACATTTAAATTAAAAATTATGTTAAAGCGGCACTATGAAGTTTGTGGTAAACTTATTGATAAAGAACTTAAGATATCGTTAGAACCAATAGACGCGGCCCCCAATGAAAGTAAACTTAATTGCGAAACGTGTTTAGCTCCGTTTAAAACTATAGACAATTTAAGAAAACACATGAGAGTTGTGCATGCTGCAGTTCTTAAAATGGAAGAACCTCAGTCAGTGGAGAATAACAAAATAGCCGTACCATGCTTCTATTGTCAAAAACCATTTGAAGATTTTTATACCCATTCTGCTCATTTTAAAGTTTGTCCAAACAGAGATGATACTCTTACTTTTGTCTGTACGGTATGTAATAAATCACTTGTGAAAAAGGCAAGCTACTTTAACCATTTGAAGGCTCATTTCTATCCATTGGCTCAGGTAAAGCCAAACAAATCCCCAATTCCAAAAGCATACACGTGCCGCTTTTGCAAAAAAATTTGCCAAATCAGGAATCCCTGATAAAACACCTTGCTGCGCACATGTCTCGTGTTGAAGAACCCGATGATGGTGGCGATGAAGAGTCTAGGTACTTAAATTAGTACGTACTGTAGTTTTATTGTTTTCAATTTACATTTTTAAATATTAAAAATATTTTCAGGAGTACCTTGGAGGATTCTGCTTCTTTACACTCAGAGTATAATAACTCTTCAATAATGACTGGTCCATTCAAATGTACAACGTGCGATAAAGGCTTCAAGTATAAAAAGGCTTTAGACACACACCAGATAGTAAAACACTCAAATGTAAGTGTTAAAGTTGAACCCCCAGATATATCCTCAGATCTGCTGAGTGAAACATTGAACGATCATAATGTTAATCAATCCGATTCTGAGTCCAGCAATGGTGAAGGCGATGACAACACGTGTGACATCTGTGAGAAACAGTTCTCCTACAAGCGCTTACTCATTAATCACAAGCGAACGAAACACAACATGAGCTCGGGAACAAAGAGAGCAAAGGTCAGCTTAAAGCAATGTCTAGTGCGCTGTTTAATATGTGACATTGAGATGAAAGTTGAAGCTATAAACGACCATAACGTGAAGCACATATCCACAGGTGTAAAACCTCGCAATCTTTACACTTGCGTGGATTGCCCGGACCAGCAGTTTAAAAGCTGCAGTGCCCTAGCTACTCACATCAAAATGGTGCATAGATTGAATCAACCGGCAACTAAACCGAAAACAAACATTCCTGTAGATCCTCCGGATATGGCGGATTTTTGTGAAGTCGTTGTGACAAAGGCGGAACCCCTGGACAGTGTCCAGAGTCACAACGACTTTGGGGAAGGCTCCGCCTATGCGACTGTTGATGGATTTACATGTCCCACCTGCAGCAAAGTAATGCCGACACTCATCTCCCTAAAGAGACATATGAACTGGCACACAAACGTCGGAAATAATATTGAAAAGAAGTTGGAGTGTTTTGTATGCCAAGAGGTAATTATTAAGATTCTATTTGTACACCTAAAATTTTTATTTTTTCGGTATTTCACAATAAGGATTAAAATAATAAGCTAATCTGGATTTTTCCCTGTCTGTTCTACTTTCTACTATTTCTGTTATATTACGGTTACATATTTTATTTTTGATCTACCGATTAATTTAATATGACTTATATTTTGTTCACAGACATTTAGATTCCAGTGCCATTACAAAATTCATATGAAAGAACATTATAACGACCCAAACCTTGATCCTAAACACTTGACTTGCCCCATTTGTAATAGGAAAAGCAAGCATCTTCGTGCTGCGCAAGCGCATATGAATTACCATAAACAGACTCGATTTAAGACCAAAGACTATGAGTGTTCCATTTGTAAGAAAGTCTTTCAAACTAGAAGAGTCTACCTGACTCATATGGCTATCCACTTCAAACGAGGGGAATCGGCAAACAACACAGTAATCGGATCTGTAATACCCACCACTGCTGATAAGACTGCCTTCGATGGAACCCATACTTGCAAAATATGCAATAAAGTATGCGAATCTGAAGCATCGCTTAAATGCCACATGAGCTGGCATAATTCTAAAACTTTACTGTATGGTGCACGTCACGAGTGCGATATATGTCACTTACAATTCACCAACAAAGTTCGGCTCAAAGTCCATGAGCGCTCTCACTTCGAAGACGAAAATGGTCCCTATAAGTGTCATATTTGCGGAAAAGGTTTTATTGCGGAAGATTATTTTCGAAGACATATTAAAGGACATAATTTCGACCATCAGTCACACAAAAAACGAATCGAAAAGCTCAGAAAGGGTAAAGTGAAGTGCCCAATCTGCACCAGATTCTATCCGGATGTGGTCAAACTGATACGTCACTTGCGCCGAACTCATCCCCAGAGCAAAATGATTAAAGAAGATCCGGACGCTCCGCCTCAAATGTACTACCCGTGCAAATTATGCGCCAAAGTGTTCCTTGACGAGCGCAGATTGCAACACCACGAAGAGGCGCATTTGCGTAAGCCCGAATTTTTTAAGTGTAAATTCTGCGGAAAGAAGACCATTTCTCTGAAAAGCCATAGAATCCATATTAAAGGACATTTGACTCAGAAATACATAGACGAGCCACTGAAGTGTCAGCATTGTGATAAAACGTTCTCTCGCGGTTACGATCTTCATTATCACTTACGTGACTCACATAACATCGAAGAAACCTGGATCGCTGAGAGAAATAGTCAAAACCTTAATGGACCTCTTAAAGAACTACAATGCTCCATCTGTTTTAAAGTTCTTGCCAGTAAAGGAAACTATGAAAGACACATCGACTACCATAATTCCCTTCGATGCAACTACTGCTTCGATTACTTTAGCACTCTAAGGTTTTTGGAGGGACACTTAGCGTTCAGCTGCGAGAAGAAAAAGCTAATCGGCGATACAGAGATTTACCCAAGAAAGGTTAAATGTGAAATTTGTTATAAGGCATTCCATATACAAGTAAAGTTGGATTGCCATTTGCGAACTCAACATGGAGTAAAATCTTTCAAGGAGGCAACTGAAAGTAAGAAGGACCTCGTGTGTGACTATTGCTTTAGAGTTTTCGAGAATGAGTATGCATTGACTAACCATAAACTTTACCATAGAACTATTGGGTATTTTGGATGCTTATACTGTAACAGGAAGTTTAACACCTTGACGGTTTACAGAAAACATAAAAATCACCACTTCGCACAACTTAACGTAGAGAATCCTACAAAGTGCGAGCACTGCGATAAAACATTTGTAGCTTTCAGAGAGTTCATATACCACATGCGGGACGAGCACGGCGATGATAAGGAGTGGGTCGTATACCCAAAGGAGTCAATGGAAGAAAAGTGCAACATTTGCAACAAAATGTTTTTTAACTTGCATCGGCATCTTTCTTATCACGAGGAAAATAGATGTAAAAAATGTGGGGAGTACTTTTACTCGCGAACCGATTTTGATAATCACATTTGTCATATCGATAGTGAAGATGAGGTCGACGGCAACGTTGAGAATGATATTCGACCAAAATATGAGGAATGCAAATTTTGTTTTAAACCGATAACTCAGAAAACTAAAAAGAAACATGATCAATTACATAAAGGATCCGGTTCAATATCGTGTAGGTTCTGTATTCTTAAGTTCAAAACCATTGACGCTTTCAACATTCACGCGTTTTCTCATCGAAGTCGAAAGTATAAGAAACATCCTATACGATGTCGTATTTGTAAGGAGCAATTTGTTCAATATGGTCCTTTCATGCGCCACATGAAGGCTGTACACAAATCTACTAAGAAGATGCATTATAGAACTACAGTTAAGCCTGAAAAATGTGAAGTATGTGGCGATAATTTCCCGAATCTACACAACCACTATCGAGCTCATTTGTTAAATCAGTGTCAGCTATGTAGCAAATACTTCACTTCTAGTAAAGTGTTTTCACAACACACGTGCGATAAAGAAGATAGTGATCCTATGAAAGTGTTTACAAGCGATGCCAATCTTCCGTTACTTATTAATACCTATATTCCATTGGATGAAAAAGATGACGAAAAGTACTATGGATATGGTGAAGACGAAGATGAAGCAGATGATGAAAACGAATTGCCCCAAAATGAAGACAGTCAAAACTCAATAGATACGGCTGAAAGTTCACTGCACGAGATGGTACATGCGCCAATCATTTCTGATGTGCTCTCCTTGTATGAGAGAAAAGAGGTTATTAATGTCGAAGAGGTGGAAAAGAAAGATGATATTTGTATCGTTGAACTTACGGATGAAGACTCAGTTGGTTATCAAGAGAATCCTTCTTCAGTTATTACTATTGATGACGATTGACTTTCGTGTACATCATACTTCTGACTAAGAATGTTTCTTTAAAATGATTCAGACGTGAAATATACGTATAATTTTTCGTAGCATACTCTGAACATGTATGTAATTTGTTGGTATGAAGAAAAAAATAGTACTTGTGCCATAAAAACTAATCTCTGTTTTTAGTCCGGTCAATTTCGACCAAAAAATGATAGTGAAGTTACATAAAGTCCCAACAAGCTGAATTTCAGTGAAATTGTTCAAAACATAATTATAAACAATGTCTAGAAGTTCCCCATCATTCCCGTGTAAGGAAACATTTTTATTCAAGGGCAAAGGTCAAAAAAATGTGTTGTGTGTGTGTCAAATTGAATTGCTCTATTGCTGTTTCAATAATAATCAATACATCAGCATCATTATAACTCTTATAACTTTTTGAATCGTTATATCTCAGAAACGGTGGCTCGTTAGAAAAAAAGTATTGATACATTTATTTATAGATAATTGTATGATCTAAAATTTTTGTCTGAGGTACTTTTATGATAAAACTTACCGTTTTGCTGAAAATCGCGAAAAACTCATTTTTTTGACCTTTGCCCTTGAATAAAATTTTTTCCTTACACGGGAATGATGGGGAACTTCTAGACATTGTTTATAATTATGTTTTGAACAATTTCACAGAAATTCAGCTTGTTGGGACTTTATGTAACTTCGAATGTCTAAATTGACCGGGCTATTTGGAATTATTAACAGAACTTTGATCAGCTGAACAGAAATTGCGACATTTAATATACTTATTAATTATATGTAATAATTAAGTAAAAGAGAACCAATAGTATTGTAGGGTCTAATTTTTACAATATTGTATTTTTTACTGCATTTAAAAAACTTTGTTAGTTATGCTTTTAAATATAATGATTTTCATTTCAAGAAAATTAATATGAATATAAATTAGCGGTGTTGTAATTTAAAATTGTATAATGTATACTTGTGAATCCATATTGATTTCACCTAAAGCAGGAAGGTTTGTGTTTCGTTTCAACTTTTCTCGTTTTTTTTCTTGGTATATATATATAAATAATCAAAGTATCTAGCAACACCCGTCACGTAAGAAGTGGGCTGCTGAGCGACAGTGGAGGGGATTCATCTATGGTTCTGCGACCCAAAATATGTCTTAGCCTAGGCTAATGTTTCATAATATAAGAGTATTGTATAATCATAATTAGTTTCAGTCAAAGAAGACCTACTAGTTACCTACTTTATTAGCTATTTAAGAAGTGGTAGGATTTAAAGTCATTAACTTCCATCTACATAATATAAAGTTGGTTATAACATTATGAGCTAAAATTGACAGACCCACCTATTGAGCACAGGCAGTCCTCGTACTTACGTCATGTTAGGTTCTAAAACGCGACGTAAATCGAAACGACGTACGTCGAGACAAATTTTTTCGTATGTTTACATGTAAAACACAAAGGTTAGGTTCCACACAGACTCGAAATTAAACAAAAACTGCATTTATAACAAAGGATATACATTATACATACTTTATTATGAGAAGTAACAGTCTTAAAATAATTATATATGCAGTTATAGTACTAACAATTTAGTTGTTATTGAAATAATAATTATAAATATTTAATATATAATGAGAAATAATAAATTAAACTTTTGGCTTAAAGAAACTATCAATTCTAGATTGCTTCGCTTCTTTCTTAATACAGATCTTGGTAACACTGATAGCCTGCACAAATTTTGTTATTAACGTTGAAACTTCTCTCAAAACTAGGATCATTTTCTTCCAAAATTTTCATAGCATTCTCCAAATTTGCACAAGACAAGTGAATTCTCCTATGCCGGAAATCGAAACAAATGACGTATGCTTGAGGAATAGTGTCAAAACATTGTTCGACGTAAGTCGAGGACTGCCTGTAATATGAATATCTTCAAAACGGTGAAAATATTATTCTTTCTTTAAAATATCACCGTGCAATGAAAATTTTGACCCTCGAACAGACGAAACTTTCAGGAGTGAACGAAGCGTGTGCTCAGCGCGAGCGTGGCTCAATTGACAAACGTTTCTGCACTGTGAACTTTTAATAATGTGACGGAAACTTAGATAAACTTTATATGTAGTATAAAATTAGTGCTGACATTGTTTTTTATTAACATACAATAATTATGACTATTTGAGAACTAAATTTAATATAAATAATTGATCTGCGTGTAATTTAATTACATAAATTAATTAATTGACGACTGATTGGTCGAGTGGTTAGTACCCCTGACTCCCATGGGTCCCGGGTTCGATCCCCGGCTGAGACGAACATCGATGTGATGTGCATTTGGTGTTGTGCTTAGGTTTTGGTCGTTTAAATATGTATTTATATGTCTATCTATCTATAATATGTATGTATATCCGTTGCCTAGTACCCATAACACAAGCTTCACCAGCTTAGCATGGGACTCGGTCAATTGGTGTGAATTGTATTAGAAAAAAAAAAAGATAAAATTAAATTGCACCTAGCCAAAGATATGTAATTACTTGTAATTAAACAAAAGCAATTGGATACAATTCTGATAAAGTGAAAAAATAGGGTTTTCATTTTTAGGAATAGATGTTTGTAGTGCATAAGAAACTTGGGTACGTGATGATTTATTTCTGCTTTAAGATAACAGTTTACAATATTGTAAAATTTAAGAGGTAAGAAAGAAAATGTATGGTTATCACCATACATTGACTTGACAATTGCCTATCGCGGGCAATTGTCAAGTCGGCTATTTGCTGTTTTTACGTAATATTGCATTTGAGTGTGAAGTAAAAATTCTGAACAATAGGTTTAGAAGAAATTGAATGGCAATAGATTATATTTAAAGATTTGATTATCTACGTAGGAATTCGCTATAATTATCAATTGTACGAGCCCCGATGCAAAATAGTTCGTCTAGTAGGTATGGAAAGTAGCGCAAAGCTTAAAATATAGAAAGTAAATATTGGTAAAACAATTGAGAACGTTTAATAAAAAGTAAACCACAATTTGAGGAACATTTTAAAGTTTATTTTAACATAACTGAAATTATTTCATGACTTTACATAACAAAAAAATATTCTAAAAAACAACGCTAAAGTTTTCGTCTACCCTTGTCACTCACGTAAAATAGTTCGTCTACCACTTAGTTGTGTCGCCTTTGCTCTCAATGACAGCTAATATGCGAAGAGGCATGGTTTCTCCTCAGGCTTAATTGACTCCCAGACAGCCAAGAGATTAGCCTTTAAGTCGCTCTTCAATCTTGATGGATTTTAACGGAGTACTTTTTTCATTTTCCAGCATAGGATCTGTTAGATGGCCATTCGATTGTAGGGATGCTTTTCGCCAGTAGCCACGTGTTTGTTATCCTTGCAGTATGGCAGGAGGCACCATCCTGATGAAATGAAAAATGTTTAAGTGACGGAATAGAGGGCAGATAATTCTCTTCCAAAAGGTTTTGAAATCTTGCAGCATTGATAGAACCATCCACAAACTGCATACAACACCTTGTACAGACATGTAGCCCCATATCATAAGAGACGCCGAGAACTTTACTTTGCGTTTGAGACAATCAGTATGAAATGCCTCATTTTTGTTTGACTCACTCACTCCAAATGTACTACACCACTGATCGGAAGTCCAATTTAAAATTTCACGAGTAAACTTCAACCTCTTTTTCTTTTGTACAGCAATCAACAGAGGTTTCTCCTTAGCGGTGTAAAATCCGTAACCCATTCTTTTTAGGACTCTTTTGCAAGTATCGACTAAGACGTCTTTGTGAATCATGTCCTTCCATTTCCCCGTAAGTTCTCCAGCTCGAGCACGACGATTATTTTTGATAATTTTCCTCAGGATTCTGTTCTACTGCACTTGTGATGCGTGGTCGACCAGTTTTCTTCAAACAAGAAGTCGTTCTATTCCTTTTATAGTGCTGAATGATAGATTGGACTGAAAACCTGGGAAGTATCAAGTCTTTAGATATTTGGTAACTTGATTTGCCAGCATCGACCCAACAAACTATTCGCTTTCGAAGCTCTTCACAAACGGGTTTGCCACGACCCAGTTATTTGAAAACTAATGAAAAAACTGAAATTTTCAAAATTTATACTGTCTTGACAAATGACACAATTAAGTTAACAAATTTAAATTATGCAACATAATTGTACAAAGAAGGAATAATCTTATTTAACTCACCGGTAGACGAACTATTTTGCTTATAACTTCTTCGAATTTAAAACAGGATATGAATTTAAAAAGCTAAATTAGTTTATTGGTTCATAATTAAAAATGGCATAAGTAACGCGACATGTGATAGTAGAACAGCTTAATATTTTATATAGATATACAAAAATAATGAACATAGAAACAAATCTCACAGAGAAAATTTCACACTAAACGTAAAATAGTTATTTTGCATTGGGGCTCGTAGAAAGTACACTAGAAACAATGTTGTTAAAACTCATTTAGATATGATAAAATATTGTCACTTTATTATTGTTATTTTCTCGATATGATGAACGGTCTCTCAAATTCTTTGGTCACTAAACAATAGATTTAGGAGTTCCTAAATATAAGGTATTTATTGGTAGAAAAAAACGCTAATCTTAGTGATAGACAACTGTTTATTAAAATATTTCAACATTTTTGTTACACTTTAGTTATGCACTAAATAATCTTAACAGGATTACTATAGATAGAGACCAAGGGATATTGGTGCATTTAATTGATATGTATTTTAGAATGTCAAATAAAGGCAAACTATACTTTGTTTATTATTCAGTACCAAAGCCAAAAAATAAACTCATCGGATTAATAATAATTTATTAATTCAACAAAGTGTTTACAGGTGGTACATTACAATAGTTATTGCTAGCTTTTATATTATGCCAGCAGATACAAAACTATTTTAAAAAAATATGCTATACATTTTTATGTACATTTAGGTTACATGACTAACATTGCTTTAAATGAAAATAAATAGAATACTAGACGATAATACTTAAAATAAAAAATACACTGAATTAATCTGACAAATTATTCATGAAATATGCCATAAAAATGAGACAATGGAAAAAGAAGGTAATACAATTACAAAACAACATAAATTCCGTATTACTAAAACAGTCAAATAATTTTGTTGTGAAAAAGTATAAGTAACAGAAGACTAGTCGTAATTTTCATCACAAGATTTAATACATACATAAAATAGACCTTGAAATAAAGTAGACATATGTTCCAACAAATTATTAGTTAGATTAATAAGATTATAATTAGCGACTCGAAAATATGAAATTTACGACACTTAGTTATTAGAAGAATTAAGGTACTTTTATAATCACCAACGTTTTTCTTCAGTCCTTTGCCTAATGAAAAACTATGTACAAGATTATAATTACTATTTTATCATTAAAATAAAAATTATCCTAGAAGTTTGGGCGGGTCACATTACATGTGGTATACAGTTATACTGAATTTCAAATTAATTTAATTACTATCAACGAAGCTATATGATGAAATATGGACCTGCTTAAATAATTCTAATTATTCAATTAGAACATATTTGGGTTAGCTTTTTGAGCACTTTATTTGTAATGCTTGATTAATATTTTACACATCTTTCTAAAACAACCATACATAGATTTTCAGCAATTTCTTACCCTTGGCACATCATTTGTCATTATATTTCATTTTAATCTTATCAGATAAATATGCATAAGAGAGCGTTCAAGTATTACGTTACGCAATTTTTGGAGCTTATTGACCCCCCCGTGTAACGCACCGTAAAGTTTTTCTAGACCTAATAATAAAACGTTTCGTGACCACCCAGAGACTCTTTATACCTAAAAGTTACCATTATGTGGTGTAAAGTACTGGAAAGTCGAAAATAATATTAACAATAACGCGTAATTCAATCCGCGCCCCGCATCGTAACGTTTTCCCCAAAGGACCAAACCCCCCCTCAAATATATATCGTTACGTAATACTTGAACGCTCCCTAAACCAGGAGATTGAATTGTAAAATTCCAGCGGATTCCAAATAACAACTTCGCGGCATGATGGAGTTCAAATAGCAATATTTGAATAGGTTTTTAAATCACCAAATAGTAAAATACCTCTTTCTGACCATGAGTCATCAAAACGTTGATTAAAATAATTTGCGTATATATAGATATTGCAACGTGAAACGCGTAAACCAAAGGCAATATTAATATAACACATGTATAAGCTTTATCATGAGGATGAATCAACAATAATAATCATCAAAGAGCTAGCTACTTAAAACACTCACTATGTCATCGCCTCACATACAGAGGTTAACTTTTGCTAAAACCGGAGGAAGGGCTTTTGTAAGAGATGTCTAGTCGTCCCACTCTCCGTCGCTAGTAGTTTCGCTGTCTTCGGAGTCCGATGAATGAATGGCTCGTGCACGTTCCTGTAAAGCTTTAGCGAGCGCGCCCGCTAGGCCGCACGTGGGAGGTCGATCTTCCGTCACTTGGTTTGTGCTAGGGGGCTTCACCTGAACCAATAAGTTTGTTAACTTTCTTAATGGTAATACACATTTTGTAATAATTACAAAATATTAGTTATTTTGATAATAATTATCAAAATATATTCGCAAGTAACGAACGTAAATGTTATGAAGCAAACAATAAATATTTGACGCGAAGCCTACTTATCAGTCTTAGAGAAACAAAAAAAAACAGATATTCTTAAGACGAAACTATTATTAGATAAAACAAAAGTATTTCATTATATGATGTAACACTTGCTTTCATGTGTGTAAAAAATGCAGATTACAAAAAATAACTTACGGCTCTCAAGTTAAATCCCTGTCTTATTTCGCTGAGCAAATTACTTCTGCTATCTTCATTGGCTGACTGTTTGGCGACCGCTTCAACTTTCTAAAGAAAATATTAAGAAAAATAATTACTACTAATTCTTTGAGCAACACAGTATGGGTTCCTCTTTCGGGCACAGTTATAATATTAACTAATTTGTTTCTTACTATTCATTCTTACATTTACTTTTGTATACTCAATTTCACTCATTAACAGACGGGAAAATTATTTAAATATTATCTTAGATCAAATTAATTTTTATATATCATACCCGTAAAGTCTTATTCCCGTTGCGTATGCTCTCCATGAGGGCCGCCCTAGGGTCGTTGCTAGCTTCTGCCGGCATGGGCGGGGCGGGCGGCGGCGCTGGGGCAGGAGGAGGCGGAGGCGGGGCAGGCGGCGCAGCGCTGGGTGGCGGAGGAGGCGGCACCGATGGAGGGCCACCAGATGGAGCTATCAAATATTCAAATGGACTTAAGCATACCACTATAGTTTAATAAATATTTCAACTGTTTTGCCAAATGATTTGGTCCTTCGAAACGAAATGGATAAGGAATATTATACCAGATAAAAATTAGTTTATGAAACTACATAACTACCTTACACAGTTTACGAATACAAAAATAACTTCATTCTAATGACAAATTATTATGTACTTACGTTGATTCGGGCGGGGCGGCGGCGGGTTTCGTGGCGCTGTAATAGTGGGGGGTGGCGGGGGAGGTGGCACCGCCCGAGCCGGGGGCGGAGGAGGCGCCCTGGACGCTGAACAATAATTATTTTTTCAAATTTCTTCGTAGTGTAAAGTAAAATATCGAATATAAGAATAATTATGAAATAATTATATTTGTCCTCATTTCTTTCTGTTCCACCAAAGCAAAATTACGAAATTCACTAAACAACAAATACATCTTTAATATTTAAAATAAAATCTAAAATTTTATTATTATCTAATCTCTCAAAATTATATTCTTTACAAGAATTTTTTAATTCACACAAAATCAATATGTACATGGGCTTGCGTGCGTGACTAGTCAAATATATATTATTTCTTGTATGAACGCTTTGGATACTATGACATTTTGTGTAAAATAATGGTAATACTTACGTGGGGCGGGCGGATGCGCGTGCGGCGCTCTCGATGGCACGGGAGGGGCAGGCGGTGGGGGGAGGCACCGCCCCACTGCGGGGGGAATCTGCGACAACATAGTAATATAATTTATTTTAAACTTATTTGCATAAAATTTTAAAAAATAAAAATATAATTTTGGAGACCAACGGACTACCTACTAAGTAATTATAATAATAAAAATTACATGTTAAAATATGAAAAGAAAATGTTTTTTTTATATTATTTTTTCCACTAACCCTAATGAGAAGCTCTACAATTCGACACATATATTTCTTTATAGTATAAACTATAAATGAACCATCTTGGTCCGATTATATGACATTTACTGTATGGGTTAGAAAAATAATAAACGGCAAAAGTAAATAGAAAAAAAACTTACATTTAGGTGGCTCTTCATGCAACTCCTCTTTGACGGCATCGTATCCTCCATGAGTGTTGATGAAATCGTAAATAAATTGTCGCGTATCCCGATCGATAAGCTGTATATCACTTATTCCCGCTTTCGAGAAGAACGAACGCATATCCGCTTCCGGAAGGTTGCCGACGTCAAACCCTGGAAATGAAGTGTTTTTACTTTTTAAGCCATGAATTTTAACCTAATTCGATATATCGTCGGCATGAGGTTAAATAGTCGACAGGCCTTTAAATGAGTACCACTTTTTTATTGAGAAGGAATTGTTGGTATATATGGCATAAGCACATAATATATCACATAAGTGAAAGCTAAGCTACTTCACAAAATGTGATTTATTACTATTTAAAACCATAATATACCAGGTAACAAGAAAAGTGAACTTTCCTTACAAAATATATAATGTTTATTTAATTTTTTCGTCCTGTTAATAATTTAAATCCTGTGAATACTATGTTATATGTTAGTGCTAAGCTATATGTTTCATGATGAAGTATTGATTTTTTTAATTATTTGAAACTAACAAACCTTTGAATACAAAGATTACTAGTATAGACCAAAAGGCTACATTGTATTTCTGGGTATTATTTATTTGTATCACATAATTCATTCGACAAACACACAATTTAATTTAAATCTAAAGTAGTAAGAAAAATATGAAGCAACATACCTTTTTCAGCATCCCAACCAACGTGAGAAACATGTTTGAAGTCCTGTGGTGCGCCGATATCGGCTTTTGTGAGCTTCCTCGCTTTCGGTTTCTTGCCTTTTAGTGTGTAACCTATTAAAATAAAATAATATATTTATTATGGAATATAAGAGATACAGTTATCACTTATTCCACGTCATTAAATTTGAATCGGTAGACATCCCTACTCATCGGCAAAGAAGACAGAGGGTGTAGGCTGAGAGAAAAAGCCGGCGTAAAAACTCTCGGTACTCTTTTAAAATAGCAAATCATAACTTATTTTAAAAGAAATATCGCAAATTAATTAGAAGTAGTCTGTCTAGCACTGGTCCCAGGCCCTTTTACCAACTAGATAATCGTTAACTTTATAGTATGCCTTTTTACACAGCTTTTCTTTAATATATTTCTTAAATTTATTAAAAGGCAGAGATAAAAGAGCCTCTTGGATTTTATTAAAGAAAGGTATCCCTTTTCCTTATTAAAGTATCATATCATATATCATAGCCATTTCTAATACAAAATAATTCCCTGATTAACACATCCAAAACACTGCCTAAAGAATATAATAAATGCTAATCATATCCAAGGGTATACGAGGTAAACCAGGTGGGATTACTAACTTGATATCGTATTAGTTTTTTGCGGCTGAACGGGTTGCGGAGCGGGCGTAGGAGCGGGTGGTAGAGCGGGTGGTAGAGCGGGTGGTGGAGCGTGGGCGACTCCATTCATACGAGACTGATTCGAACCTGTACTGTTAGCTCTAGCCGCTTCCATAGAACGATGACGTCTATCTGTAATACATATATTTTAAACTTTATGTATAACATTTTTATTTATTTCAACTCAAAATATTTGATGAAAAATTTAACTAATAGACTGGCCTGTTTGCCTCTTAGAACATCACGACAAAAACAGATCTTAATTTAATTTCTCGTGTAAGATAAATCCAATTCTATAATGCGAGATGTTTAATGATGTCGATACCAATACATTCCACCGCCTACGTGTTTGTACACAAGCATATTGTTAGCACGCGATCTCATTATATCATGTCTGACTCAGTTGCGTGATCTGATCATTTAAACATACTAATCACCTTATCAGCCAATAAATGTTGCCTTAACTTACTATAAGTTTAGATTTGGCTAAAATCTAGAATTTCTTTTGCATTTACATCTATACTAATATTATAAAGAGGAAAGGTTTGATTTTTTGTTTGTTTGAAATGAATAAGCTCTGAAACTACTGGACCGATTTCAAAAATTCTCACTAATTCACCGTTGGCAAGCTACACTATTCCCGAGTGACATAGGCTATGTTTCATTTTCAAAAAAATTTGGGATGCTTACTACAACTTGAATAATCTAACCCAAGGTGTAAAAAAATAATCAAAAAACTTCCTTCAATCGTGTGCGCTGCGAAAACTATTAATGATAGAACAAAATAATGTATTACAATTTTTCAGGACACATCACTATCTATAAAAAATGTCGCGACAGCATTTCTCTATCTTTTATAGTTACGTCACAATAAGCGTCCTTTTATTAATTTTTTTTATTAAAATACCACCGCTAGAAAAGGCTCTTTATTCGTACCTAGGTATTGATCCTTATCAAAATAATTACCAACATTTCACATAAGCTACAATTTAATGGCATAACCACCAAAAAATCATGGTGGATTGGTGTTCTTCTGCCTTTTCTCTTGAATAGTTTACTACTATGTAATATAACAAAAATCTTAGCCACAGCAACGCTTGGCCGAGTCTACTAGTTACTCTATATAGTAGTAGGATATTATTTAAAGTCATACCGACGAAGATGAACTCAACACTGATAAAATATAATTATGCCGCATAGTTCGAATTAAAAAATAATAAATTTATCCACAAAATGACTATATACATAAATTTCCTAATATCCCAATACACACGCATTAGCATTTGGTGTTAATGTGTTCAATAGCTATAATAATCACCCAGTGTTGCTGCAACTAATCAGCCTTCCGTGCCTTTCATTTGGAAACAATTTTTATTTTGCCAGGAAGGTCCAGAAACTTCGTATTTGGTCATTTGAAGCGGTAAGGTATCACGAAGGAATATTACGTATAAGTTATAAGGAAATTAAATGTTTCATAAATTCACACGGGACTTATTACAATTTACCAATTACTTAATTGGGGCTTAATTATAATTAAATTAATTAAGCCATGAATATATCATTTAACGAGGCGACCATTTAGGATAATTAAAAGGAAACTATATATAATGCGATGTTTTGTCAGAGGTAAATAAATTTAATGTGTCATAAATCTACTTTGATGACGTTTTCACGCCGTTCAAAGATCAAGGTTTTCTTTATACCCGAGAAGGTCTTTAACATTTATTTATTTTTAATTAGTGTTTCTGTTATTGCTGAGAATGGACGCAAAATACTAACAGTTATATTTATATCATTTATGTAAACATTTTTATTAAACCTAGCATGGTCACATGAACATTCATCATTTAAGGTTGGTCTTTTTTATCAACATAGCAGTTTGAGCCCCTTTATATTATTCGAGTAACAACTTAATAGTAGTATCTCTATAGTTAAAGATCTAAGCGTAGGTTATATATTATAGCCTAGGTTTCAATAAAAGGCTCGACAGTGAAAGTTAAGGCAACGAACCTTCGCGTCTTTTTTTCCGCATTTCGATTTTCTCTATGAGAATGTTTCTCAAGACGCGCGCCTCTTCTTCATTTGCGAAGTTAAATGCTGTCATGTATTCCTGAAATATAATTACTTATTTTTAATTCACATATTAAAGTTTTATAACTCCATAATGCCTAAAGGCACAGGATTTCTGGTTTTCGTAACAGGTTTCAAATCAAAACAAATTTTCGTCACGTCTTCTTGTCGTCATGTTTTCCATGCTTTGAAATTCTTAAGTGATCTACAAAACAGAGCACTTTTGAAACTGATGAAATTATAGTTGGTTGCTAAGCGCTAGGTAAGTGTTTGCCAGTCATGCATGTGTAACCTACCTAAATCTAAGTAAGACTGGAAAACAGGAAGACTATGCTACAAGCGAAATATTTCATGCTAGGGTTTCGGTCTCAGTAACTGCTGAATGATTTTAAATGATTGCTATTGATGTCATATTTTACGAATTTTATACTATAGTAAGGTAAGACATAATTGCATTTCCACGTCCGTAGCGGAAAAGGGGCGACTAATCTCTTTAAAGTTTAACAGGATTGCAATGGAATTGTGCCATATAAATATCACTACGCACCACTTTACATCACCGTATTTTTATAAGATTCGTATAAGATTTTTAAAAATAAAATATTACCTCTGCTTCAAATGTATGTAAATATGGTCTAGGACTTCTATATTCTATTTGCATGTAGACCTCATGTTCCCATATCATAGTCTTCCGGTATAGACAATATATCCGGAAGAAATAGGACCTTTTGGCATTGTCCTTTATAAGGCACAGTACGCCAGTGTCTTTTTTCTTCCATTCTGTATGACCTGGGCCCTCTGTTGTGAATAACTGCACTACTGCAGTAGCTAGACTCTGGAAAACATTCACATATGTAAATAGTAATATTCTTTTTCTTATATAAATACATTCCAAAGACAATTTGCTGAGAGTATAATTTATTTTATTTGACAAATAATTTATTAAATTAAAATTTATGAAATAATTACCATAATATCACTGATTTAAGTGAAATTTAATATAAATAAACTATACTCAAAATTGATGTTTAAATCTCTAGAATCATATCATATGATCAACGTATCTAGAATAATATTTAGTTTGCAAAATACTATACAATTATATGTATATATATGTAGGCAAATTTTCAGCTACATTACTACTTGCATTAATGATTATTCAAATATAAGAGTTATATATATAAAAAGCTAATATATAAAAATTATTACTATACCTATTAGGGTTTTAGATTAGGGCTATATTTGTTGCACTAAATTTACTCTCAACTAGACCTTGCAGACAAAATATTTATTAAGGTTAAGAATGTACATTGAGAAGTTAATGTGTCAATAAAAACATTTGTATGCATTACATGTTTGAAGAGACTCCAAGATATACATGGTGTGGTATCTTAATCTGGTGACTTTACAGTAACTTCCTCTATGATTATGGATACAGTAACAGTATTAAATAGATTATAAGTATGTGTATATGTAATACACAAGATGTACTGAAATATACTATCAACTTTTTTATCAAACTCAAACTCAAAACTCAAACTCAAAATATCTTTATTCAAGTAGGTAACCAAGTACACTTTTGAATCGTCAAGTTAAATTAATCGTAAATTTACATTTACTACCATAAAGTTACATAAAGTCACATAACTATCCATAAAGTTTTTCGTAAAGATTGACATATTTTGTGCTTATTAAAATCGAATTGAAAAGAAGGAAAGAATTATGTGGATTAAAATGTCTTAGTCTTAAAACTAGTTTTTGATGATGACAAATGATTATGTAAGAGTATCAAGTGTCATCTGTATTTACATAACTTTAGAAAGTAGAGGCAACTATAAATTCAAAATTATATAATAATCAGAATATTTATTTTTAAATTATTCTATCACACAGTATAACATATAGTTAAGATAGAGGAATCAAACAAAACTAATAAAAAATTCTTGAAACTTATGTGACTGTCTATCTTATGTGAGAATCTAAAACATATCTTTCCTATGTAACACAAATTTAAATTTGTTTTAATAAAAGAATAGCTTCTTATATAACACTAATCATTTTACTACTATATTTCCAGTCATATTCATATTTTTTTATCTATTGTTTTACTATTTCAATTATTGTGTTTTGATTATTTACAATGATTAACAAACATATGTTAAAGAGACAATGGCATCATCCTAATATGACTCATAGAGTTGTATTATGTACTAAACATGATATTTTTAAATAAATTACTTTGAAATGTTTTATTGAGTTATCATTTCTACCATTAAGATGACAAAGAATGAGTAACTTAACTCTGGATTACATAAAACTAATCTTGCCTAATAATTTGAGTAAATCAGAAAATTTCACAGAACCATTTTATCAGAGAGACATAATATGAGGCCAAGAACAAAAAATTCTTATTGTTAAGAATTCTGATATGTATTGTCAATGACCAATGTGAATCTTACATTGTACAGTTAACAATAAAAGAAACTATTACTGTTGCAAGCATGGGAAAATATCATAATTAAAGTCAAAAGCAAGAATAGATTAGGTGGATGAGATTGTGATTATATTTATAAATTGTGTTATATTTTTCATTAATATTTGGGTAGAATCAGGATTAAGAGTTAAATTAAATTGGGAATGTGACAATTTAATCAGTTTTGTAAGATAAAACTTCATTGTCTTTTAATACAAGGTACACTTAGACAACACTATTTTTATATAGAAGTTAAAGTAAAAGCAAGCAAGTACAGCCAGGATAAGAGTTTCATTTAAAATAGATTCAATACAGTGTTGAATGTAAAATCCTCGAAAATATACACTTTGCAAATATATCGTTATCGATGCTGTGATGACTGATAATCGGCCGATAGGGCGTGATATGTAATCTGTTGCCTGTAGGTAGAGGTTTATCAGAAGGCCATAATTTTTGTAAAACTCACCTGACATTTTGGTCCTATAAGACTAAACACCTGTTCATTTTCTTCGCGAGATAACAGGACGCTCGGTCGGTTCTCCCCTCTCGGCATCCTGCTTTAATATTTATTACAAATACACTATTAAAATCAATTTAAATAAGCACAGCCGTACATTTTGTTCATCACAAGTTTTGAATGCGTAGACACTATTTTGGCACACACTTTTTTCAAATACTGCAGCAATAATCTTCATCACGCGATATACCTCATTGATTCGATTATTATATGCAAATAATAAAGGTAAATATTTCAAATTACTTTCTCCTCACTTGCACGACATACGCGAATCATCAATCATCGACTACGGACCAGTGTGACCGTTTTAAAAAATGGCGATCTACCAAAACTACAAGGTGCCAGTACTAAATAATACCAAAACACATGCTGAATTATACTAAAAATATACTAAAAGAAAAAGAGGATTTTTTTTATTAAAACACTTATTATCAGTTATAGGTCTACCAGGATCTGATGGCAAAAAGGGAAAAAAGAAATTGACGCTAGCAATACTGGGGAAATTGGAGAAAAACGTTTTGATACTTTTTTTTCCTTATAGCGGCTGATTATGTGTGTGATACATGAAAATATAAAAATGTATCCAATGAACAAGGATAATTTTTGAAAATGTGGGTTTGAAATTTAGATGAAAACTCCAATTACTCTGTTCATGAGTTTATTAATTAATTAAGAACTTGAAAATGGTTCCAAATACTGCACATCCATAAAAAAGTCTTCAACGCCGTATTTATAATAAACCTTTCCTCCTGCATCTCAATTAACCGATCTTGTTCTATGAATTGATTTTCAATTTTTATTACATGTTCACAATATTTTCACCATTCATCGATCCCTATTTGAGAGAAAGAAACAGTGTACAACTCATTTATCTTGTTTCTGATCAATTCTAAATCAAAACTATCCAAGTTTATTTGTAGTATAAGAAACCCCTGAAATAAACCTAAGTTTAGTATAAGTACATAATATAATACACACGAAAAATCCCATAAACCAAAGTATCAAGACGTGTCATTCCTACTAACCAGTCAACGCTTGCACGTGGCTCAATATCGATGATTGTGTATGATCTGCATCTTGTTGACCAAGTATTCTTTGATAAACATTGAAAACAATATGTCTTGCTTGCGGTCGAAGAGGTTTCTTCGACATTTTCATCACTTTTTAAAAGAAATTTGAAGCCAAACCAAAAACAATTCCTCGAAATTTCACTTGACAGATGAATTTTTTCTTTTATTGCCATATGCAAATCGCTAATTTTTAAATTTTTTTTTGCCATCAGATTCTGGTAGACCTATACTTTTTAATTTTACCAATTACACACCTTCATAATACAGACATATTAAAATAATAATAAATATTTACAATAAGTTTTATTACAAATACTAAGTCAGTATTCGCTGCACTGAGCTAACTGAGCAGATTTAGTGCGTTTGCAGGAAAAGCCCTTTGCGATTTCCAAATCATAAAACATTTTGCTGAATAAATCGCTGAGATGATCCATGATAGGCCCGAGATGGTATGTTCTGTTCTGCCAACGCTGCATAAAATATAAGCTCTGCTTTTCTTACTTCTTCAGATATGGGTTCTTTCCTTTGAAGTAATTTATCATCGTTCTGAAAATAAACAGGATTTGATTAATTTTCGTATCGTAAAAAATAAGTAAAATACCTTTTTTTTTATTTTAAAAGACTAGTGTCTCATTTATGAAAATTTTAAAATTCAGCTTGAAATCGCTTGAGAATCAATTATACATGTGTGAACAACTGTACATGTACTATCCAAGATTCATCGGACAGCCTGTAGAAGTAGGACAATTAATTCATATGCCATAAAAAAATAAGGGACACAATAATCTTATAAATATGTTAATGGGGGCTTAGCTTTCTTATCTTGGATTGTCCACTATAATGTATAAGTTTCTGCCGATGTTTTTCAGAATATGCATGACTTTTAATTGTAGCGATTCTGCTTAAAAATGTTGCTCCACAAGTTTTACACAAGGCGTTCTCATTATTTTTATCTTTTGTCAACCATGACGAAAATTCAGGATTTTGTTCCCACTCAGATCTATATTTCTGATCGTATTTACGCTTCATTATCTTCACTACACATGCACACAGAGAGAAATAAATAAAGAACTAAAACATCCGTGGTATTTTTTATACAGCATGTAACGTAGATAGTAATACGTAGCTAAAGCACGATTCGCGAATTTGTTAGCATTAACCGATCGAAATGATACAGTTGCGGTAAACATCAGACAAAGACAAAAACATGTGAACGAAATACGAACGAATGGAAGTGACTGTTTACCGCCCAGCCCAAAAATATATCAAAATGTGTTTTAAAATGTTGAAAGTTTAAATGTACCAAAAAATACCAGAATATAAAAGGATACCAAAAAAATACTAAATTAGTTACAGGGAGCCCAAATTATACCAATTTGGTACTGAATATACTAAAAACGGTCACACTGCTACGGACTAATACTTAATAGTGTTGCAAGTTATTTTAATTTAACCTGTCAGTGACACCTGTTTGTATCAACTCTTATCCTAATGAATGTCAAACATCACTTGTATAATATTATAAAAGTTGTTGGGGCCTATCATAAGCTTTCTTAGAACAATTCTTGAGCTTTTGAAATTTAACTGTCAAACTTGCTTCGACATATGATTCTCTAATCTACATTCTACATAATATATAAAAATGAATCCCTATTTCCCTTGGACGTATTTTAATTAATATTAATAATAATTATTATTTATTATTTTATTATATCATTAATTCAATTTAATAACTAGGTATGTTTCATAACCTTTTAACTAAGTAACAATAGGTCTTTGTGAAAAAGCATTGCTAAATTTCTTTGAAAAAATAATTAAAACTCTATTTATTTAAAAGGTTTATTCATAAAAATTCATTATGGTCATACAAAATTCTTGGCATAGCTGCTAACGTTACGCATATTATATTTCTTTTTACTTGTAGATTGTCTTATTCCCATCTCGCTCGCGCACGCTCGGCGCCCATACTGATAATTTTGTGTCACGGTGCGCGTGCATCGTAAAATTTCACTCTCATAAATTTTTCATAACGCGCTTAAAGAAGTATAACTTCAAAAAGATTTTTGTATGCGTTGGGTGACGCCCTGGGTAGTTTAGATTCACAAATCAGCCCAGCAGATGGCGCTGCAGTCGGTACTATCATACTTTGTTTAATATACTAATCGCTTGAAATATCATGCAGCATTGAGGACAACGTCTGTTGGATCCGCTAATAATAAATAAAATCTAAAAATTGTCTCGTTTATTTGATATTATAGCAAGAATAAGCGATGCATCTCAGTTGTAGGAAGTCCATAGGCTGGCAATAAGAGCTTATGGTAGGCCCCCTTGTCACTGCACTTAATTGTAACAAAAATAGTATGTGAAGGTGATAAATGTATATATAAAATCATCTTAAATATTCGATTTAAACTTGTACACTTTAAAATCTGTAAGACAATGTTATGAAATGATGTCTCTACTTTTCCTATATTTTACTTAGCACTTTTTTGCATATTATTAAATCTTTTCCGTTGGGAAAATTGACCTAAACAGTCCCTGAATAAGTTCTCTAAAATTGCTAAAATCTAACTTTTTGTTGGAATCGGTATTTTTCAATACTTCTTAATCTACATTTAAATTTGAACCTTCACTCGAAAATATCGCTTTGAAGCCTCAGCACAAAAAGCAATTGCCGAAATTGATTTTTGTATGGTTATCATTACATCACATTGACCCCCTCCCCCTCTCCCCCCCCCCCCCCCCCCCCAAACAACCCCCCCCCCCCCAAAAAACCCCTCCCCCCCCTCTAACCCCCCCCCCCCCGACCCCCCCCCCCACCCCGGGCCTAAAATCCCTCTTCAAAGAGGAGGGACACCCCCCCCCCCCCCCCCCTTCCCCCCCCCCCCCCCCCCCCCAACAAAAAAAAAACCCATTCCAACAAGGGGGAGACAAAACAACCCCCCGAGGAACCACACAAGAGAAAAAAAACAAAGGAGGCAGAGCGGGGGCCAAAGCCCAGAAAGAGGGGGGGGGCCCCCCCCCCCCCCGCGCCCCCACCAAAGCCCCCCCCACCAACAAACAGCCCCCCCAGCGGCCCCCCCCCAAAAAAAGGGCGCCCCCAGGGGACGGGGGGCCGGAGGGGGGGGGGGGGGAACCCCCCAAGAAGAGGAAAGGGGGGGGGGCCCCCGGGGGGGGGGGGGAAAAAAAAAAAACCCCCAAAAAAAAAAAAAAAAAACAAAGGGGAAAAAAAAAAAAAAAAAAAAAAAAACCCCCCCCCCCCCCGGGGCCCCCCCCCCCCCCCCACAAAACAAAAAACCCACCGGCCCCCCCAACAAAAAAAACCCCCCCCCCCCCCGGGGGGCCCCCGCCCCCCCCCCCCCCCGGCCCCGGGGGGGGCCCCCAAAACCCCCCCCCCCCCCGGGCGGGCGCACCCCCCTTTTTCCCCCCCCCCCTTTTTCTTCCCCCCCCCCCCCCCCCCCCCCCCCCCCTTCCCCCCTTCTTCCCCCCCCCCTCCCTCTCCTCTTTCCCCCCCCCCTTTTTTTCCCCCCCCTTTCCCCCCATTAACCCCCCCCCCCCTCCTCTAAACCCACCCCACACCACAACCCCCAAAATTTTACCCCTTCTCCCCCCCCACAAAAAAAAAAAAACAAAAACCAACCCCATCCCCCCCCCCCCCCAAAACCCCACCCACCCCCCCACCCCCCCCCCCCCCCCCCCCCCCCCACCAATCCAAAAAAAAAAACCCCCCCCCCCCCTTTTAACCCCCCAAAACCCCCCCCCCCCCCCCTTTCCACACCCTCAAAACACAACCCCAAAAAAAACCCTCCCCCCCCCCCCCCAACCCCCCAAAAACCCTTCTCCCCCCCCCCCCCCCCCCCCCAAAAAACCCCCCCCCCCCCCCCTCAACCCCCCAACCCCCTCCCCCCCTTTAAAAACATTCCCCCCCCCCCAACAACCCCCCCCCCCCACAAACCCCCCCCCCCC